CCCCCCTCGCGTACGCCCCTGATGGCCCTGGATCCCGGAGTCGCGGAGCAGCCGAGGACTCATAAATTACTCCTCTAGGAGTTGGGGCACTAACAGAGCACGTCAATGCGAATAGTGTTCGGAACCCGCGCGCCCTGGAGTGCGCGGCGGTTCCTGCCGCGGTTTAAAATATTTTTCGCACGATCTGTTAATCGTGAGAGATCTAGGAAGCTGTGAGAAAATTAGAGGCGATCAATGAAGCAACCGGCGGCGCGCATCGACGGGCATTCCGGTATCAACTTCGACCTTCTGTGTTCCGTTTGTGTCATCCCCCAGCCTCGCAGGTCCCGTGTATAGACCCCGAGGTTCCCGGAGTCCTGAGTTCCTGAGGCCCCCGAGTCGAATGAAGTCCCAAGCTTCCCCACTCAGACGTGAGTCTTCTTCGTACCGCCTGTAACCTCCTCAGCCGGGGGCAGGACCCTTCCGCTAGAAATAGCCTTGTTACAATATCCTAGTTTCTCCCGCGACATCGTCTGCTATAAACAGAAAATATCATCCGAGTGAGAGAGGGCCAGTCATATCCACGTGTCGTTTTCATCATCAAGTTGCTTGTTGAGCATGAGTGTTAGATAGCGCTCACTCCGTGTCCCATACGCAGTGTCTCTCAGAGGAATTTCGGCTTATCAGAGGAAAGCGGTGAGTGCTGAAAGGCCCAGTGCTGAAGCGCTCGGGGAACCCTAGGTAGGAGAGAGTCTGATCAGCCGCCTCGAGAGTGAGACGATGGTTATCTGAGCGTTGGGTTGTGTACGCAGCCGCGGAATCAGCGGAAGCATCGGGTTTTCGGAGTGTAGGGGGTGCGCTCTCATCGTCCAGTGAAGGGAGCCTTGGATAGGCAGAGCATGCAGTGTATCTTTCCCTTTCTCTCTATGGAACATTAGAATAAGAACACCCAAGTCTGTCCGAATGAACCACTGTGTTGTGAAACCTCTGCCCGAGTTCTCTACAATCCTGCATCCGAGTGTCAGCGCCTGAACTCTAGTCTCCTCACAGGTGAAATCGTGCCGCGGCGGGAACGTTCCCCCACCTTCGAGTTTTCTCCACCTTCCCACGAGCATCGACCACTTTCGGTCAAACATTGCTCAGTCGGTGTTCACCTTATCAACTCAATCGACGGTGTCAAAGTTCTCCGAGGAAATGAAGGCTATATTTCTGTTGGCATCGATCGCGCTCTGTGCGGCCGCGGAACTCAAGGTGGACGTGCTTCAAGAGGCGACATGTGAGCGGAAATCCAAAAAGGGGGATTCTCTCACGATGCACTATACCGGTACATTAGAGAAGGACGGCTCCAAATTTGATTCCTCTCTCGATCGAGGAGAGCCTTTCCAGTTCCAGCTCGGAGTGGGGCAAGTCATCAAAGGTGAGGTTGCCTCTATTTCTCTTGAACATGGTCCCCTCCAGGAGCCAGTATCGGAGCTCGCATTTTATCTCCATACGGAGTTGATCGTATCTATGAGGAGCATTCTTCTCCCCAAGAGTTATGAGCTCCTTGATAGGAACGCCGACTTGCGGAATATGATACATTATAAATATGATATCATCAAATATTTCACCATGCATGTTCTGTAATCTCAGAAGTCATCTACGTATGCTTGATCTTCCTCCCCGTCTGTTGCGACTCGCAAACCTGCATCGAACGCACTTTCTAACGATCAAAGCCCGCCCCGGTTACAGGATGGGATCAAGGGCTCGAGGGAATGTGCGTTGGCGAAAAGCGGAAACTCACCATCCCTGCTGAACTCGGTTACGGAGAACGTGGCGCCGGTGACAAAATTCCGCCCGGCTCAAATCTGGTTTTCGAGGTCTGTCGAGAGCAGAATCGCTGTCGTGATCGATAGCATTCGATGATTTGGAATTCTTCCCTTTACGTGAGGAAACAAAATTTCATGGTCGTGTTTTGCAGGTCGAGCTGCTGAAAATCGAAGAAGGGCCAAAAACTGTGAACATTTTTAAAGAAATCGACTCGAATTCTGATCAGCAACTCTCCAAGGACGAAGTCTCGACCTATCTCAAGGTGTGTTCGATTTTCTCAAAGTATCCGGGAGTCTGTCTTCGGACGACAGTCCCCGACGTGGACTGCATACTGGCATACAGGACCTTACGGAAAATCCCTGTGTATTGCAAGAACAAGACTAATTCGGAAGCTTTGCAGCAACAACTACCAGCAGCTCAAGCCGCAGGTATGGCTGATCTCCCCGAAACAGAGAAAATGGTCGCCGATATATTCGATCACGAGGATACCGATCACAATGGCTTCATTTCGCACGCGGAATTCTCTGGACCCAAGCACGACGAGCTGTGATTGAGATCTCGACATGCGATTGTACGAACGCACCGCGAGAAAGCGTAGCATTATTCAGTTGTGAGGAGCGAACGTGAATACAAGGTCTTCCAAACAGGCTCTGAGAGGCCAAAAGGCATCTGAGATGGTACCCACCTAGCGGGGAGAATACGAGCCGAGCAATAATATAATTTATTCTCTTACGGTGTTTGTCTTAACTCGAATTTCCTAGATAAGGTCGAATTCTGGCTCCATTCGTGTTTGGAACCGAATGTCGTTCGTCAAAAACAAGTCGTTCACCAATTTTAAAGGGACCACCATTGTTGTGAGTCCTTGACTAATGGACCACGTTGGCATCATCTGTACAATAACCCTGTCGCTTAGGCGAGTAGCGTTGGTTGTAACTCATCCTTTACTGGAATATTGTCCGCTTATTTCGGAGGCGATCGTGTCAAGGATCGGCTCACGTTTTCCGGCCGGCAGCGAGCGACGGATGAGGGTCCAACGCCAGCGCGGAGCTCTATCTCCAGCTCCATGTATTCGAATCACTCGCATGGTTCATCCAATGAATAGCATCCTTCCAGCACCCTATGAATTCCCGCAATAGTTCCGCATTGGGAATGTTCCTCGACGGGAGAGCTTTGAACGCTGCGAAAATTCGCGCGGCATTCGGAAAGGTCAACATGGACACAATCCGTCTCTGGCACTTCTCATTATTCACGTGATCGACGCTTTGATTCGGTGATTTCGGGAAGGTTGAAGTTTTTCAGGTTCCATATCCGTAATAAAGGATTTCCAGATTTCTTTTCTGCTGTTTCAAGACTCATCCACGAGACCGATGTTCGTGCGGACCCAGATAGATGAGAGAGAGCCTGTTGTCGGAGGATCATCATCGTATAGACGGATGACATCGCGTCGATTGCTCTGGAGGACCCCCTCGGTCGGTCAATAAGCTGTGGGACTTCAGCTTGTCCCGACACGCGACGCGAGCGTCCACATGCCGGCCCGCCGTCCGTGATACGCAGCGAGCGGAGTTTTTCTGACCGCGTTGTGGCACATCTCTCAGCAGCGGACATGTCACCAGAATTCGATGTCGAAAAATCGATCAAATTGCTTATTCTACCTCGTTCTGGTCTTCCAGAGGTGTATTTGGACGCGGTTGACCGGCAGAATGTTGTCATGAGACTTCCGGTCGGAAAGTGCGTCTCCTAAATATGTATTATAGATCCCCGTCACTCGACGAAGGGATTGGGGAACCCTACGACATTGGTCAGTTCTCAGTGGTCGGTCACACTTCCACGATCAGCTTCATTCACGGAGCGGGAAAGCTTGACTTCTTTCTTTGAACGAATTCCTTTGACAGGGAGATTTTGATAGCTTTCCGTCTCTTTTCAAGCTGTCTCCGGCGGCACCCGACGCTCACGGGAACCGGTGGAACCTTGGAGCCAAGACTCGCATTACAGATCTGGTAATCTGGACAGGATGTCCCTAAATATGGGAAAATACTAAGGTAATGACAAAGCTGGTCGGACCAAGGCTCCAGAAACAGAAGGAACGCTGTTAGAAAAAGGAAGATTCGCAAGCAAGCTACAAGTCACAGTCGCGAGCGCCGGCGTGAATACGGACCTGTGAGACACGCGATTCCTTGTAAAAGGAAGGAGAGCGATAAGTTCTGTTCGATGATCGATGTCGATAAGGAGAAAGGGGATCGTCTCACTTGACGGGATCCCAAAACCGGTCCGCACGACGCGCGTACCACTTATCTCGAAAAGCAGAAGATTATCGTGACTCGGTGTTACCCGCTAGTTCCAATTATGACGTATGTCTTTCGTTCGGATACAGACTGGCTGACTGCTTTTCTAGCGGGAGGCATCGTTTGACCCAAGAGGGCGAGGGAATTCACGCCACACGGGGTCCAGGAGCGATGTCTAAACGGATGTCAAACGCCGATCGCGACAGCGAAAACGGTGGTACCTGATCGTGGGAGAGAAACATTCAATGTGAGCTTCGTGATCTCCAAGTCTTCTCTCGAGTACTGCAGCTCTAGCAGCTTCAACGTGAGTCCAAGAGTCTTCGACTAGTTGAGGGCGAGATTCTCGGAAGCCGCTACCCGATTCGATCCCCGATCGAGTCGGAAATGCTGGATCTCATAGTCTCCAGTATCGCCTCTTCGGCTCCGAGTGAATATCCATCCCTGACCTTCTTGGCAATTTGTTAGACGCCAGAGTTATCATCCTACCTGGGACTCCGATTGCGAAGCAGGGATGTTTAGGCGACAGAATCTACTGAAAACAGGCACCGCCACATCCCGTCGAATGACGGGCAGAAAAACATCGGCGTGATCGGAACTTCTGCGATGAATCCGAGTTTCTTGAAATCCCCCTCGAAAATCACAGTCGGTAGGATCGGAGCTTCGAATTTCTGTTTCTTCCCACGAGGTCGATCCCTGGATGTTTCCTTTGAGCACCCAACGAGCTCCGTGATTCGCTCGTACCGGCCGCGAAACGCTTCGGTAAAATATTCAGAATATTCGCATTCCTTTCGAGTTTTCCAGTTGAGAACGGCTCGTTAGTTCCTTCAGCTCGTCCCGCCATAGAATGTCGCCGGGTACAGGGCATCGAGCTTGGCAGAAAGCGCCCTTAAGTGAAGAGTCTAACGACTGTCAGCGGAGCTTCTGAATTTTTCGGCACAACGACGAAATCTCGCTTCGGAGGGCTTAAGCTTGGCCCTATGCGCTCGTCGAAGCCCTGTTGTGGCCGAACGACGCTCCATGCTCATTCCTTTATCGAATACTTCTCGTTGCAGATGCTGACTTTGGCTCGCTGGATCGTATTCGCGGTTGTCATCTGCGGCGTCTTGTCTGATACCGTTGGGAGTTCATCTTCAGACGCCCGTCGCTTGAAGAAGAAGCTTTCAATTGCCAATAACAATTTCGCCATGAATCTCATGCGGCTGCTCCCGAAGGACAAAAATATCGTCATATCTCCATTCTGTTTATCCTCGGCTCTGGGTTTGTTCCATATCGAATTCAATATTTCTTTGATCTGATCCAAACTTGGGCATCCGTGCTAGCTGTCGAATTTTCTGGGTTGAGCTTCTCAATGGATTCCCTGAAGTCGATTAGCGGACTCTGCGAGATGCCTCGCACGCAGACGATAAGGTGCTCACTCCTTTAGCTCTCACGAGAAAAGCGTCTCCTCTACAGGCATGCTTTACGCGGGGGCAGGTCCCAGTACGGCCCGAAAGATGGCCTCAGCTCTACAATACGTATCCACGAATCTGCAAGAGGAAGACGTCAGTAAAGGTTTCGAATACCTAATCGAAGAGATCAAGCAGCCTGATCCAGGTGAGCAAACCGGAATCGTCCGAAATCTTCCTTCGACAAGTCCCTGGGAAAACGATTTTTCTCGAAATCAAATCGATTCCGGAATGGCCTAAGGCGGCGTGTTCTGGACGATCACCTCCCACGAGTTTCGACAAAGAAAGCTAACTTGCTTTTCCAACCTCAGGTTTCACAATGGTCGGGGGAGAAGCCGTGTTCTTTGAAGCGAACGATGTGAGTTCATTTTTCAGGGAAGACTGTTCCCTATTGAGCCTTTCCAAATGAAGTTGTTTCTCCGGATCAGTGTTCTCAATGGAGATCTATAGCTGAGAAAAATTCGTGCGCACAGGTCAGGCCGGAGTTCAGATCGGCCATCGAATCTCGATTCAAAGGTCACGCTGAGTCCGTGAATTTCACCGCTGAACCCACAGAAGCGAAAGATGCCATCAATATATGGGTTAGGAACTCTACCAAGGTAAGATCAACGCTTTCTTCGTACTACAATTTAGACGTCATGATTCTCAGAAAGTGCTGCTCCTCTCCATCAGGGACTCGTTTCGTCATTCCTTCGGAGGCCGATCGTGCAGAACAACACGAAATTGGTCTCGCTCTCGGTCGTGTACTTTAGAGGCTTTTGGGATCAGGCTTTCAACCCGAACGACACATATGAAGGCGAATTCCTCAATGGCGGGACCCAACTGAAGAAAATTTCGATGATGCGAGGTGTGAGTGTCACTCCCGAGTAAACGGCAATAATTCTATCGGCGATCATTTTCTGTTTCGCTTATAAGACATGTACCTGACCCTCGACAGCAAATTGAGAGAGCCGGTTTTGCAAAACTTGCCAGATTGAACTCGACGCTGTTAGATCTCGCTTACGGCGATAACATATCAATGGTTCTCATACTGCCAGATGTGAGTAGGAATCGCTTGAAATTTCTCCCAAAGAAGGATTGTCTGGCTCTACATTCGGCTTGAGTCGCCCGATGAGTAGATCGATCTCTATCTCGGTTCCAGAATCCGACGAACTTCAGCTACGTTGAGTCGCAGATTTCCCCCGTGGATATTCAGATGGCGAAACGAGGACTGACACCGACAAGTGTGGACGTGCATCTACCGAAGTTCGAAATCGAGGCATCCTACAACTTGCAAGACGCCCTGCTGAAATCTGGAATGGTCGAAGCTTTCTCCGAGCTAGATTCGGATTTCTCGAATATCTCAGAAACTGACGGGCACCAACTGAGCATTTCGAAGGTTCGGCTCTTTCTTTCACGAAGAGACGCTCAATACAATCAGATGACTCGCTCATCATTCGGATACGAACCTCCCTTCTAGGTTCTCCACAAGGTCAAGTTCCGGATCGAGGAAGATGGATTATCAGTGACTTCACTCGGAGGCATCGCGAAGGACATGCTCTACAAGTCGCAAGACGATATCCCGGATCAGAAAGTTTTTCGAGCGGAACACCCATTCCTGTTCTATGTTTTTCACAATCCAACAAACGTTATTCTATTTTCGGGCAGGATGGTCAAGTTCTGAGCGAGAGGAGACAAAAATAAAGTACGGTCAACTCGGGATATGTAATCATTAACTCTAATTGGTCGGAGGATTCGACCTCTGACTGCTTCTACAGGGAAAAGCGCTCCTCAATGGCCCGATCCGAAGCGGGACTATGACCTGGTGGACGCTCTCCAAGGATTGGGAATCTTATGAAGGGATAAGATGTCGATGCGGGAGCCTGTAGGAGCCCACAAAGCATGCTCTGCAGCCGCGAAAGAATCAATTCCGCTCTACCGGGCTATTTCTATTCCGAGAAACCCATACAGACGTGGTCTCAATTTTCGGTCTTGGTCGCGAATAAGTGCCTGGACCGCAGGGCGAGAGGCAGCACCCGCTGATCCCCCTGAAAAGAATTTTGCGCAGCGCATCTCGAATCTCCCCGCGAAATCTGGAGAGGGAGCTCACGAGTGTCCGAAACCGGAATCCGACCGGCGGCTGACGACAGATGACAGCTAGACTATCAGACTCATTCCTGCGTTGAGAGAAGAGGACACTCATGCGAACGTGCTAGAGAATATAGAAAATGAGGGATATTCCTATTCAGCGCGGGAAGTACTGTGGACTTCTCGAATCTTGTCCAAATCGCAGCGTCTGATAAACTTCTCTCTGAGGCTGTGTGAGGAAGAAGCCGACTAACTCATCGGAAATACATTTTTGGTGCCGAGTGTCGTGCTGAGCCCTACTTTCGCCGGGATGCTTTGGGAGAGGAGTCGAATACCGCAGGGTTATCCGAAGTGAAATGTTTGGATGGCATTCAGAGCTCTGCTTATTTCAGAATGATAAAATGCATCGATGAACTACCACCGCTGCTTCCGATGGACGATAGATCAAATGTCATGATTCGATTGGAGCTCGAAGGAGTTCTCACATTTACCGCCTTCTGAGCAACAATCAAAAAATCGCATTTGTTCGCCCCATGTTCCCAGGATGGTAAAGCGTCGCGCCGATCCGAGATTTGCATTCCACTTGGTCTGCGGAGAAGAGCGATCGCTGAAAGACGATGATTCAGTATTCGAGCACACGGAGTTCGATTAGCGATCTAGTTCACGCACACAACCCTTCAAGGAATCGTCATTGTAAACTCATGCTGAGGGAAGGGCTAAGAGCAACGCGCTTCTGGGTCGAAGAAACTATCTCGGGGCTCGTCATGTATCGTCCCTCGAAGAAACGTCGATTCCCGATCCCGACGGGTTCCCACCTGGGGTAATCTGTTTTTGAAGCAATGTTCACGAAAGAAATCACATTCCCAGAGCCTCGGCTCGAAACGGTCGACAGATGGAGAGGCCCACCCTCCCAGGGCTGGTTGGATAGACCGAGCCGAGCTGCTGTGTTGGCTTGAGCGGCAAAGCGGCCGCTCACTAGCTCGCTCGATCGCTCGGCCTTCGGAGTTGAAACCTCAATGCATTATCTTTTTTCTAACGGTGTTTTCAAGGCTGTCATTGTCATATGGAGGGAAGGCATCGAGAAGTTCCTAGACGAAGAAGAACTAGGTAATGACGGCGCGTTTCTCAGCATAGAAATCAAGGGCTTGGCTGAAGGATAAACTTCGAGACCTCGCCAGAGCTTGCTGAAGAATGCAGAATGGCAGCCGCAACATCGAGAGCAAGTCTGGCGAAATTGAAGTGTCTCCTCTCAATCGAGCCCGTCGTGATGAGTAAGGTTTGAGATTCCCGCAGCAGAGATTCCAGCAACGCCGGAGAAAGACTTCCTCATTTTCGCTCCGTGGTTTGGTGACACCGATAGCCGCAATCCACCAGAACTATTCCATGTTCCGAAAACTATTCAAGTTTGAATCCCATTCACTTCGACTTCAGGAGTCACATTTTACCGCGGGAATCAGTTCGAAGTCTTTTCTGTCGGGCTAGCGATCGATATATCGGACAGGATCTGCGTACGGTTTTATAGACTGTGCGCACTGTTGTATTGATTATTTCGTTGAGTATAGGTTTTACTCGATGATCTATAAACGCTAGGTCTTCATTCACGGCCTGTCGAATCGGCCTCCATCATGGAGTGGTATCCATTTGTCAAGAAGATATGAAATGAAACTTACCACTGGGGTATCCAAAGAGGCTTGGTGCTGAGCGAGGACCAGCGCGTAGGGTACCTCCGAACAGAGTAACTTCAATGTCGAAAGGCCTCCCCTTATGAATGTCGGCCGAACTTCTCTCGGACGAATCCCCAGCCTGCTCCAGAGCCCTCACCGGCTTCTCTCTCTGAGAGTTGCGCAACGGATTTTACAAAGAACCTATCAGGCAGAGAGCGGGAGCCGGTTGCGACGAGCGAGTTTGTCAACGAGTTGAGCTCGTCTCCCTCGTTCCTCAGTGGTGCGAATCGCTTCACCTCCAATCGGGACGCTCGAATCCGGATTCCAGTGCATTCAAGTCCATTCGTGGAGTACCCGATGCTTTCGGCCCGAGAAGAAGTCAGTCCTCTAGTCGGAGAATATTCAACTCGATCCGCTTACGCGACCCGAGGATAAAAACAAGTCAGCAAAATAGCACCACGGGTCCGGCGAACAGAGGAGAGTAGCTTGTATACGGCAAGGGCATGGCCATTGCCATGATACCTGAGAAGGGCACAGGAGCGTAGGATCCTTGCTCACTGCCGAAGCGTGGACGAATACGAGTTTGGCAATGATCTCCGAGACGCCGGAATGCGCGAAACCTGCCATCCATCGCGGCCTTCACGCACACGCTCCATGCTTCGATTCTCCAGAGGTGTCTAAACAACTGTCTGAAGTTTCCGAAGGTGCACGCGATTAAAAGATAAAAGCTCGCTCGCGCTTTCTCAATCCTTCGGAAAAAATGCTCTGAGCCTGTCTGATCCTATGACTTCATCGCGGAAGCGGCAAGAATTTGTTGGAACAAGTTTCTTTGGAACAGCCTCTTGGATGTTAACGCCGAGCTGCAGCGGATAAATTTCTGAGTCAGGGCAATTCAAGCCTGTGCAGTAGACTTCAATGACCACTTGTATGCACAAATATGAGGAATGCAAATTTTCTAGCGTCCGTCATCCCGATGATTTCGTTCTCCACCCCGATCACTGATGGGTTTGTCGTATGAAAGCTGTCCTTTGAGCCGTTGCGCACCATCACAACGGCCTGGTCTGAAATGCAAGCTCAAATGCATTGCTGGGATTCCTCAGGAACCGCCATGGCTTCGACTCTCCGTCCGATCCACCGAGATTCTCGGATCAGGCTCTAAAAACGTTCCGAGTTATAAACACACTGGGTTGAGTGTGATCAGCGGGTACGAGAGCACTGCCATATGTATATCGTTCGTCAGGCTCTGGGCTTGGGATTTCCTCACTGCGCGAGATATCGCGAAAACTCCACTGATTGTGTTTGCAGAAATCTCATCGCTAAGCCTCATCAGTCTTCATCAATCTGAATACCTAATAGATTCACGACGTGGTACGGCTCTTGTTCGAGTCTAGTTGGCGGAATTCGAGTCTGATGAACACCGACGCTGGCTTTCGAAGTTTCCGTTCGCCCCAGGTGGAAGACGACGTGGATTCGTCGCGGAAGGGATGGTATCAATCACGTCCTCGAGATCAGCCGGAGGGAGACCAGGCGGGGGAGACATCACTGTCGTCGACCTTGCCGCGACGGTCGCGATCGGATCCGTGATCCTTAACGCTGTGTGAGTTCCGCTGCTACCGCTCGCTCTCCAGACATCAGGAACGCGATCAGACTCCAAATTTTCAGATATGATGGAGCTCACCCCGACTAGCTCCGATTCGTCGGCTCGGTATTAAACCGACCCATGTCGGTGAATTCCACGCTCAGAGGTGTTCTCGGTGCTCCAGAGGTACGTATGCCGTCTCTATACTTGGAGACTCGCTAATTTCTGCTGAAAGCGGATAGCTCTTCATCTCTGTTGTTTCTCCTCACCGCAGTATCAATTTCCTCCGGAATGGGCGATACAGGGGAGGGGTTCCTCTACGACTCGCTCCGATCCCTCGACAGTCTATACTCAAGTTCCAAGGGTATTAGGACCTGAGGATCCGCGGAATTTCCTTGACGGGACTGGTTGTGATACTTCACGGCGTGTGATTCCTATACGCCTGCATATTCGGGAGCCGTCGGGAGCATCGCTCCGAGCGGCTTCTCGCGATTCACGGGCTCTCTCGATTCTGGGCATCCCGAAAAGGTCAAGATATACATACTATCTGAGGCGGACCTTGGAAAAGGTCTCGCGCGGTCTATCAGCTCATCAGTCGATGTCGTCGAATAAAATATCATTCTCGGGTTTGGAGGAGAATCGATAATCAACTCATAAGAATAAAATATATGTATAAGCTTTAATTTTAAGGTATGACCACAAAAAAATTCACTGATTCATTCATTCTGGCTTTTCAGTACGCTGAGGAGGTCTTCCAGCAACGCTCTTGGAATGAAGAAAAATCGAACAGAATTAGATGCTGAACAGGCTCTTCAGAGTTCCGATTTTCGTACGTCAAATGTCGAGCTCCATCGACTTGGCTCGTGGAAGATGTGATTCTCACCTATTTTCCTCGATAAGAGTCTCGGCGGTACTCTTCTCGGACGCTTCAATAGCTCGGGAAATTCTCTGGAGCCTGGAGATCTCCTCCAGTCTCGCGCCCATCTCGTCCTGGATCACTCTGTTAATCCGGATCAGAAGGGAGAAGAATCAAAATCTGAAGGAGACCGTGAAGTATACGGGGAAGAGTGCCTTTCCAGCCTCTCAGAAGATGGGAGGCATCACTGATCTTCTAATTCCGTGCGGTCTGGTTATCGAAGGCTCTTTGACCTTCATTTTCAGTTTATTCATCCCATTAACATCCAAGCGAAAAATTATTATTGACTCACACATTCCGTTGCTGCCACATGAGTTTCTGCCGCGTAAGCCGATTGAATGCTGCCAAGAGAGTAAACATATGTCTGAGAACAAATTCGTTATTCAGGAGGATCATTCCCAACCATGACTCCGGAGCCCATCGGGCTAACTTCCTACGGCAACGATTGCATGGTAAGAGTTTCGTCGCCACCTCCCACTCACCGGCCTCTCGATTTCTCGCCGATATTCTGCAAGAAGCGGAATCGGTGATGAGCTCAAAACTCTTACAGAATTCCATTGAGGCCGAACGAATTTGAACCTCAAGAGAAGGAGGCCTCAAGGCCGACGGGAAGCTGACCTCTCTTTGCGCGCGATGTCAACCATCAGAAGTGCGTTCCTCAGGAATTCAGTGGCGAGCTCGATTCTTCTCTCATGAAACAGAATGAGCGTTATTTCGCGGACGACTCCGCGGAGATCGATTGGAAGCCCAGGCAGAATGCACGATTGACTCACTTTTCCTTGAGACCAACGAAGGTTTGACTCGGTTGCTCGTGAACTTCTTCTGCCGGAGGCATTCTTCTTTCCGTCTCGATTGATAGCGCTCGGCACTCCAGTGGAGAAATTATCTCGGGGGGTCGCCGAAAGCTCATCGAGCGGTCAGATGAATGCTTGCCCGCACGTCCTCATGGCGCACATCATCACGTATCGTTAACAGGTGACGCAAATGTTCTGGAGAGAAGCGCGCTCATCGTGGCATCGGCTCGAGCTCCGAATTAGCGATTGGAGAATGCTCTACCGATGATGAGAGTCCGCAGACGTCTGAATCGTTTGATTTCTCCCGATCGCGAGGGAAGAAGCATACACAGGTTGCGCTCCCTGTTCGGGAATTCGTAAGAGGCGCTCCATGAGAGCTCTATAAAGGTCAATAACAAGCATCCGTCATTCTACCATGGCTGTGAATGCTATAAGAATCCGGAAAAATCACGAAACCTCCGGGAAGGGCTCTAGCCGAGACAAATTCCTCGCGAAAACCATGCGCTTCACATGGACGAAAGAACGAAGAAGGAATTCCCGCATCATCTCGAACAGATAATGCATATATCGCAGATTTATGATGAACTCTTCAAGCGCCTCCACGAAGAAATGCTCATGGTCGAACTTCGTATTCTGTCGAAACCTTGGAGCATCCAGTGTGACGACCCCAGCGCCCGAAGCCTCGAGGAGAAGCATGATGCCATCCTCGAAACGAGTTTTGCTCGCACGTTCATGGAAGGGAGAATCCAAGAGAACGACGCTCCTTTCAGCGAAGAAGCTAGGAAGAGGTAGGCCACCAGCAGGAGAACTTCGTTTTTATGGCTCTTGGAGAGGACCCCCATCATTCCATATCGCGAAGAGCAGCGCTCCGTGTTCAACGGAGTCTGTCAGGAGAACCTTATGGATTTATGCATCGCCTTACCAACTCGAGGCAGGGGGATATTTTATATATGCGGGATGAATGATGCGCAAGCATTGGAAACTGAATACCCAACGTATTCAAGCGTAATGCTTCGAGTCATTGAAATTACCAAGATTCGACGATCACGCCGTCTGCGTCAGTCTCGAGTCTCGACGCGATAGTCCCGATATCCCGGCAACGACTGACGGATCCATACCGCTTGGGCGATCGACTCTTCTCCAAGAACCTTCGAGGCTTCCATGGCAACGGTATCATTTGCAACTTCTTGGCTCCTGGCCCGGATGTCCCCTGTTTCTCCTCTTAGCTCGGTCGCCGGTCTTCCTGGCTGGATGGCTGGCTCACTTGCTGCTTCCCTGTCGACTTTCTATCATGAGAGCATAGCTAGCTGCCTGCCTGCTCGTTCTCGACCTCTTTCCCTCCGGGCCCGGTACTCCTGCTCCTTTAAATCTTTCGAGAGCTCGCATTCTGCTGGTCAATCGATGCTCTGTCCGGAGAGGCCTCCAGCTTAGACTGAACTTCGTTGAAGGAAAGATGGTCGTCGATCCGAAACGGAGATTTGAAATCAGATTTCCCGGAGAATTACGTCCAAGCGCGCCAGGACGGATTTCGGGAACTTTCCGATTGAGGCGAAATCTTCGAGTCTGTCGTGGGCCGAACCATTGGAGGGCGCTGATGGAGCGACACTCACATCTCATGGATTGTTTCGAAAATTCCACGCGACGAATGGGAGTAATCTTCTAGAGTCAAGCGCCTGATATCAAAAAAAGTGGCACTAGCGCCGACAGTGTGAAAGAAGTCGGAAAGGCTCTTCTACGCTTAGACAAATTGATAGCATTAAACATCCATTGTCGAGAGTATCCTCGTGAGTTGCGATTGTTCGAGATCCCCGATTTTGTTTGCCCATCAACGGAGTAAGTTCTCGATTCTGCAGACCGAAGGCTTCACGTTTCATCGGTCCCATAGAACGGGCCCCTCCCGAACGGAGATTTCATAGATAATCACTCCGACCGCGGATCGGAGCACGCTTCCCCCGTGCACATACTCGGATCTTTCCCTATGATGGGAAGGAAAATATTGGGACGAATCGACCTCATAATCCCTGCATTGACGAAGTTTTAACGTAGGTAGTCATCAGAAATCGTTCGCCTCCTCGTCTTCTCAGGCGGCGAGAGCCGACTCCCGATCACTAGTGAATGGATTGAGACGAAGTGGTAGGTTTCGAATTGAATCGCTGTGCCTGTCGACAAGTGATTTCGATGTATCTCCCTCAAGACGTCGGATCACTCGAAGCCTCGGCTCTTCTCGAAGACCTCTAGACCTTTCTCTACCGCTTCATTGAGAAAGGGCAAAACTTCGGTCAGGAACGTGGCAAGTGCAGCTGCAAGACCCAGATCCACTAACCTCCTTGGCAACCCAGCACGGTCTTCCTTTGTCAAAAATCAGTGAACGCCAGGTCAGAGAAGGGGAGAAACTCTCTTCGCGAGGTGTGCTTCGTTCGAGCTCGCGTGAATTTTTGAAAGTACCTCACTTCTCCGAAGGTAAAGTAGTCAAGTCCCTCATTGGAAGCCGAAAATCCGAGGAATCAGTTCATCGTATTTGATTCCTCTGCGGGAGGCTTCCGCTCAGACTTCTTAGAATCTCAGGGCGCGCTGGGGCGAGTTATCTGGCGTCATCTCGATCGCTCCTAGCTCAGAATATAGGCTCCCTCCGAGCCAAGCCGCCCGACTTCATGAATTACTTCCTGATAATCGTTCTCCAAATGAGTCCGAATGTAGTGGCTGTTTTACTTGAGGACGATTTTCATCACGAATGATTCAGGAAACTCTCTCTCGCTTTCCTTGTGAAATCCTTTCCGTGATTAGCTGCTCGGATTCACGTCGAGCTGCCATGTTGTTCTTACCCTCACGATCGCTATATTCATGAAAGCGATAATAATAATCGGAGAGGAATTTCGGGGAATTCCGGGAACCCTTTTACCCCGGGACGTTCAGATATCGTTCTACATACGTTAGTATCTCTTGCAAAACATCACACCGAATGGTGGAATCCGCCCATGGGAGGCCGCTGCATTCGCTGATTCTTGATTTGTTCGCCTTGAGGAGGTTTCTCATCATCCAGATCAGTGATGATTGACCCTTCTTTCGACGTAGTTCCCGTTCCCTACTGCGAATCTCAGAGCCTCTCCTCGCTGCTTACTCCGCCTATTCCCGGCCTCGGACACATCTCCGTAGTTCCATGTTCAAGTCTGACGCTATACAAATTCAGTTTTTATGCTTCCCCGGCTAGTTCGCGTGGCTTCCGGCTTTGAGGATAATCGTGATTGAAATTCCTTGATCCGATTTGGATATTTCGGAGCGAACGAATCCAACGAACTCTAGGAGGTCTGATTGAGGAGGAACGGGGCATCGGCTCAGATCTCGCGAACTCCAGATCACATCACGCGTCTCGCATCGTTCGGTAGCTCCAAGGAGTTCGGAAAGAGCCATGCGAGACGCATAATTAAGCTGTTTCATTCACTAGCAGCTGGAGACCACCACAAAAGCTGACCGCCCGAACGAGGCGGGAAAATCATTTCAGACGCTCATGAATCTCCACGGCTGCTTCCCTGTGGTGACAGTGTCATATGATCAGCGTAGAATTATTCTGCTATTGATCTCGCGAGAAATTCTCGTACTCCCTGCGTACGACATTCTCACTTACCGCCATCAAGCGACGAGCTTCCCTATACGAAAGGCCATCGATGCATCATTCGAGCGAAGACAAGCGAGATTGTCGAGCGCTCGGCTTCCTTGTGTCTTCGACCGGGTGCAGACTACTTGCATCCACGCTACGTTACCGCTCGGGCAGAGCTAGTCGGGCCTCGATCTCAATGGCCGGTGGTAGGTCCCCACACTAATCGCTCCGGCTCGTCCGCTCCTGTTAACGGGAGCAATAGCTCCTTCCCTGAGCTAGCGCTCCTTCCACAAGCCATGCGTTCTTGATCCGGTGAACGAGCGTGTAGTACCGATTGAGTCATAGCTTTGGACTCGAGAAAAGAATGAATTTTCCTCCAGTATTCCCCTTCCGCAGCGCATCCCAGTCTCTCGGGAGTCATCCGATGCATGAACTGCCCTCAGTTTCGTTCTCCGGGTTGAGGCCTGTCGCTGCATGCGGAACCTTTGCCTGTCGATTTGAGGCCTCCCAAAACTTGAGCAAGAATAGAGACGGTGAACGCGTCGTAAGGGCGTTCTCCCTGTTGAGCCTTCCTGTCTTTATGAGCATCGAGCAAGAGCGTTTTCGCTCGCTGAGAACCGATGCGGAGCCGAGACTACTACTCGCCAGCCGAAAATGTGTGTCTTGCCAACTCAAATTGAGTTCCTCACGCGTGTGCAGCCAGAACTCCAGGTCGAACAGAACCCGCCGCGGTTTCGAGGAGTTTTGCATCATCTTCGAAAACTCTCTGCTATGAAACGATATATCCGTAAGGCCTAAGCAAACTTTCCGGGGGAACTCCTGAAGGTTCCGTGTCATTGAACTGGGATTCCAACTTTTTCGCCCTCGGTATGCTTTTTGCTACTGATCACGATGACTGGTGATGTATGGTAGAAACTTTTGATGCGCTGCGCTGCCCAAAACTTGAAGGTGTGAGCAAGCCTTGCTCTACCAGGCAAAATCGTTCAGAGAGGTCCATGTGTGAGGGTGTCAAGCGAACGAACACCCGGCGCGCGTAAGATGCCCCCTGGAGACCGCGGATCCGAATTGTCCCTACCGAAGCCCACGATATAGTGAGACTCGCACGTAAATCACGGAGGGATAGCCGCAATTCGATTAGGCACTTCAGTGAATCGGACGAGGATAGAATGCGGTGGCAAGCGAAATATCGACTTGAGGATCACCCCCAACGAATTCGAAACCGAATCTGCGGGCTCGGGGCCTCGAATCGTCGTCGCGACTCATCGAGTGCCGCGATTCTCACCCGAGTACACTCCAATCATGCAGCCCTTTTCACCACAACTCCTGGTTAAATCACCGGATCCGATTCGCTCAGACTGCCGTGCCGTTTTTGCTCATGAATTCGAGGTTTCCGACATTGTCTCTGGAATGAGGCAGGGAGCACAAAGGAGATGAAGTTCGCGTTCGGTGCTCGAGGAGAAAACTCCACCGAAGTTTGAGCCGCGCTGAAACTTGGCGGAGGGAGGTAACGATTTTCTCACTTTCGGTGAAGTTCAAAATGAATTCTCTCTTCCCAGCTCCCGGGAAATCATGGATGACGAGCAGGTATTGGAAGCTGGCAACTGGATGATGAAATTCTTCGTGGACTACATGAATGGTATCCGCAACCGGGATGTTCTCCCGAGTGTCAGGCCTGGCTACCTCCGAGAAAGGTTAGCTCCTGATCAGCCCAAATAATATCCACATCGAGACATGCATAGTATTCAACTCATATGGGTCATGGAATAATGCTTCGATCCAACGGATGATTAGGCTCCCGGATTCCGCCCCGGAGGATCCCGAAGACTGGAAAACTGTTTTTGAAGACATCGAGAAACACATCATGCCTGGCATCACTCATTGGTATGCAACGAGGAAACAGTCGACCAAGTGAAGATGCCTCATTCCTGGCGCCTCTCTGTTTCTTCTTTATTTTCTCCTCGTAGGCAATCACCGAATTTCTACGCCTATTTCCCTTCCGGCCAGAGTCCTCCATCAGTCTTGGCCGACATTCTCTCGTCCTCGATCGCATGTGTCGGCTTCACGTGGGTGAGTGACGAATTCCTCGAAAATTGTTCCCGATGCTTCCTGCAGTGAGTTTCGGCATGAAGGCAGGGAGCCTCGTGACGATTGAGATTTCGCGCAGTCATGAAGTGACAATAATCAGGGGTTCCGTGTATGATTATTAGATATCGAAAGGAGGCAACTTCGGAAGAGCCCCCCCCGAACATGGAGTTTTCCGAATGCGAGAGACATTCCCCGTCGGGAGGTCATTAGCTTCAACTTTGGGAGAGCAGGGCGAGAGCGTGCCAGTGTACGAAATGGGAGCGCGGCTCGCTTGAGAACCTATTTCGAATGATCTCACCTTCGCTTTTCAGATCGCGAGTCCTGCGTGCACTGAGCTGGAGATGGTCACACTGGATTGGTTGGCGAAGATGCTGAACTTGCCAGACCAATTCCTCTTCAGCAGTGAGTTTCTCATCCATTCATTCGGAAACCCGGGAATGATAGATGCCTCCGAAAGCAAGAATCGTCTTCGTACTCGTCGGTCCAGTGTCAGTGTCCGCTGCTTGGCTCGGAGGAGACTATAACCTGATCGCTATTTCCTCTCATCCCCAGGCGGTCGCGGTGGAGGTGGCGTGATTCAAGGAACCGCTTCAGAGTCAACCCACATGGCCCTACTCGCCGCCAAAGCGAAGTGTACCGCACTTCTGCTATCGAGGAACCCTCACTGGAAAGCCGGTGATCTGAGGGATCGACTCGTCGTCTACGCTTCTGAACAGGTGTGCATTCGAGTCGTGGAGGAACACCAGTCTAAAAGGGTTACTCCCATCTGCGGAGAATGTCAAAATTGAAAACACTTGAATGCAGGCCCATTCCTCTGTCGAGAGGGCGGCCCTCCTGGCCTGCGTACGATGTCATTTGGTATCTGTGAACAAGACCACATTGGGAATGGAAGAATCTACGTTGGCCAAAGTGAGTTTTAGCCCGAAGAACTGAAATCGGATCGACGGTGTGAATGGCGGTGCAAAGCCTACCCATTATCAGACTACGGATGCTTATCTGTGTCTCGTCCAAGGTGATTGCCGAAGATCGACAACTGGGTTTCATCCCGATGGCCGTGGTTGTGACACTGGGCACAACGAACACATGTGCCTTCGATGAGTTGGACCGTATTGGGCCGCTCTGTAAGTTCTAGCTAGTACCATAAAATTTTGAGTGCCTCCGACTTGGTCCCCTCGTCCCCTGGATGAGGGAACGGGATCAAGCTTGATTATTCTGAGGATATCCCACATTGCAGGTGAGAAGGAGAACCTATGGTTGCACATCGACGCCGCCTATGCTGGGTCAGCGTTCATCTGCCCTGAGTTTCGGCCGAGACTTGATGGTGTCGAGTATGCGAGCTCTTTCAATTTCAATCCTCATAAGTGGATGCTCGTCAATTTCGATTGTTCTACACTGTGGTAAGGGTAGAGTGGTTGAGCTGACTGTTTCCATATCGTGATAACAAAGGAGTGCAACCGAACGAGGAGAAACGAACCGAAACAGACTCTCGAACACATTGGAAAAATGGGAATGTGGGAGGAACCAAGGAGATCCCACCGGATAAGGCTTCATAGATAACATTTCTCAAGAACGTGGAACGTGGGCAGGTTCAATCAAAAGGTGAAATTTGGTTGCTTCCAGGATACAAAACCGAGTAGATTTGGAGAACGCCTTCAAAGTCGACCCTCTCTACCTCAAACACGAGTTCCAGGGAGGCGAAATGCCTGACTACAGGGTTTGTCCGGTTGAATAATTTTCAGAAGGAGGGAACGCGCCTTGATTTCTTTACAATATCCGTTGGGGAAAAGGTGATCTGGAGTTGAATGGATTCCTTCACGAGGTAATCGAATGCTTCCAGCACTGGCACGTCCCGCTTGGACGTCGATTCCGATCGCTTAAACTATGGTTCGTTCTCCGAATGTATGGCGTCAAGGTGAGAAGGATGACGTCTTAAGCGTAGAGTCTGAGAATCTCTTCGCAGCAGACTATGCTTAATCATTTCCCTCCTACCAGGGCATCCAAGAGTACGTGCGCAAATGTGTAGCCCTAGCGAAGGAGTTTGAGGACATCTTACTACAAGACGATAGGTTCGAAATCGTTGCTCCTACAACTCTCGGTCTAGTTTGCTTCCGCTACAAGGTTTGTTTCGTTTAGCGGCACGTTTCAGATTGCAAGATTCCTGACTCGGGAGTTATCCTCTGGACAATAGGAAACTGAGGGAGTTTCAATTCCTAACGATTTGAGGCTGCTAGTTTTGGATACGCGTTGACTTCTCGATTCAATAATTCGATTTTTATTTTATGCTCTCATGTTCCGCTTCAATACATATGCTTCGGCATTCTTTGTTATCTCTCTGACTTGTTCGAGCGCAACGATCGCTTCGAGCTCAGTCCAAGCACTCGTTCAACCACGCATCCATCGGCCTAATCACTCATGACTACCATTCGTGTTTTCACTTTTCAAAGGCCGGATGGTTTTCTGTAGCTCGTGGGCGTCCGCCGGTTCGATCCTCTTGTAGTACTTTTCCCTAGTGTCCACGATTTGGAAACCGAACTTTTTGTAGAATTCAATGGCACTATCATTGTTCACTTGGACATGCCTGTAACGATTGAGGGAAACGTATCGAAACTTGGCTCTGCCGAGATATACCATAAGCAGGGACGAAGATTTTTCGCGGAAAATTTCCGCCGAATTCGCGGCCTCCATCGGAACTCTATGAGGAGTAGCCGGAAATTTCCGCGAAATTTCGCGGGAAAATGGCGGTCCGCGCAAAATTTACATCCCTAACCATAAGGAGTGGAGGCTGTGGAGCTGATGCGACGTGAATCGATGTCAGAGGAAGAAATCTAGGGGAGCGATAATTTTTTGAACAGGACCCCAGGTGAATAATACTCACAGATAAATCGAATCGAAGTTCCCGTCATTCTCAACATATTGCAAGACATGTTTCAACATGACCGAACCGATGCCGAGTCTCCTATAGGGAGCCAAACAGCCCAGAGTCATGATATAGAGTTTCCTTTGGTTACCGACAGTGTCAATCCGACAGCAAACCGCTCCAACCACGATGTCATTGCAATACGCCAATTTCGTTAATTCTCCCTTCTGAAAAGACTCCTCATTCAGTAGAATTCGGGAAAAAACTGAAGCATGTCGCCGAGCAGGAGTCCCCGTCGCCTCTCACCTCTAGAACGTTTTGGTAGAACTTGTCATTGTAGATGACGGGGAAAACAACGGAGTTCACGCATTTCAACTGCCGGAAGTTGTGTGGAGTCACAGCACCGAGCTCGATTCGGTGGAGGCTGGAAGAGTCAATCAGTATATTGGAAACGGTTCCAATTGTGGGGAGTAAAATGCGGGTGATCTCAGGTTGGGAAGCAAGTCGCTGGAGGCGCGACATTTCTAGCCGTTGGGTTTTTTCAAACCGTTCTCGAGCTAGATAGGCACAGAGATCGAACGCCCTCGAGGTAGACCCTATGGAGGCAATCATAGTGCGCGGAAACGATACCGGCCATCGAACTGCTCGTCAAACAAGCCAGCACTCAGGACTTGGAAATAACGAACCGAGGAAGCGCCTTCTATCGATCTGAATACTCACGGGGGTTTCGATTGTTCAGGCATTGTACTCTCCTTCTAAGTAGATCATCAGGCGGAGACTATCCTGACCGACCCTAAGTTCATATACGGGACGAAGTATATGAATTTCACCAGTGGGGACTACGAACTTTACTGGATTCACTTAGAACACACGGCAGTGCATGTTCCATATATCCGCGGGAGTTCCCCTGGATATACAGGTATCGATTCCTTAGGCCGCTGATTCGTTAAGAAAGTTCCGAAGTTGTCCTGGAAAATTTGTCGTTTCTCGGACACGCCGCTCTCTGTGGTTGCTTGTTGCGGAAGACGGAGCCGGAATTCGTGCGATCTGTGATGTTTCGAAACTCAGCAGACGACTTCTGTATCGAAACCACTGGGTGAACACGGTCTGCACGGAATCATGGCGCGCGTCTACCTGGGTATTCGCTTTCGCGATCGTGCACCTATCCGGATGTTTCCGAGCTCTCCTCTATGGCATAAGCCTCAAGTCAGAACCCCTTTGAGCAGCCAGCATACCTGCGTGGTCGCCGAGAGGTTCGTGCGCGTCCGACACATGCAGCCGTGCGCTATGGTCACGCCGCGCCGCCTTGTCATCTTAAGGGAGGTCGTTCGGTTCCCGAAACCGGCCGATATCTCTCGATATGGAAAGGGGATCGGGGGAGTTGTCTCATTGAACTCCACAATCAAGAAGTGAGCTTCAGGTTGAGGTCGAGATTGCACGAGCAAGCAATAGCGCTCTCGCTCGGACCGTCCCCCGCCGCTACGAAGGGGGCAGCGCTAAAAATTGCGAGCGTACTCAGCATATTTTCCGTGATTCCAGGGTACGAACAAGCAAAACGAGCTTCTTCTGGCTAAGATACACGAGAATAAAAAGGTGTTCATGTCGCCATGCAGAGTTGCCGACAGGTCAGTTTTTTCCCGGTAGGAGTTGAGCTGCGATCTGTACTGCAAGATCCTGATTTCCACTGACGGTCGGTTCCAGATACATTCTCCGTCTGGCGGTCTGCGGTCGCCTCACTGAAACGTCTGATATTCTCTTCGCATGGAACGAAATCGTAGCTGGACTGGAGGCGATGCTGGCGGATGCCAAGGATTTCGGGTGAGCTCAGCGACGGATGATTCCATGCTTACGCGCGATGAGTACCTTCATATCAAGCTATGCGGAATGATTGTCCATCTTACGACCACTTTAGTCTCTGAATATGCGAGGGAGACATGAATGTTCCATCTCTTCGCAGCGTCGACGAGGAGCAGCAACTGGACGAAGGCTCTCTTGATAACGCCGCGTGGGCCGAGAAACACTGCCTTGTCAAGCGTCTGCCCCTGCCGGGCGACAAACCTAATGAGTTCAGGTGATTTGTTGTATGCGAGGAGAATTCGGTGGCGTGCATGGGAATCTGAGGCTGGTCAATGTGCCGCTGACACGAAGCCTAGCAGAATTGCACCGATCGCATGCGCATGGCTCGGAACCGAAGTCAGTGAACAGACTGAAAGAGCTATCGCGGTCGAAATTGATTTGGTTTCAGTCAGATGCCAATGGAATCCTCCCCAACCATCATTTTCCACCCATTTCTTCCCCCAGCACGAGACTCAATAAACTGCCATGGACTTGGAATCGCTTAATGTTTTCCGATTATGTGTCTCCCGAAGAGTTCGAATCATTGGAATTGAGTTAATATTCAGATGGCTCTTACGGAGCGTTGAGGAAGCCCCCTTCGTATGTAGCCTCTGTCTATATTAGATCTGCGTCACGACGACCTAGCGTGTATGGAGCGGTGAAAGAGAATCGTGACCCCCAGGGAGAAAGAGTTGCTCTAATTACCGAATCTTCAGACCCATCCTGCGTCCCCAAGGAATCATTCACAAGTCCTGCACACAATTACGCGACTGGCTCGCCGGACACAGAAGTCCCGGATCTGCCAGGAAGGGATTGAAAGGAATTGTACCTCTCAACGACCCGAATGATGGATTGTGAGTAGAATTCATCCGCGGAGGTGAACGGAAGTCTCCTTCTCGCCTCCTTTCACTTGCCGATTGCTTGCAGGAAAAGCGACGCCGACTCCAGTGAACCGGATGGGCCAAAAAACAGAGTCCCCCCAGAAGCCGCGGATTCGAGCGAGAAAAAATCAGACTGAAGCAATACTCACCCTCAAGATCGATGGGCATCATTCCTCCGACATAACGGCGTCAACAAAAGGAGGGATACAAATCGGGGTTCCACTGAAGCCGCCTAACTAGATAATGCTCCCACAAAGCTATACGGAGAATAAGTAAGGGAGATAAGCTTGACCCTCGCTCTCGGAACCTTCGTACTTTTATGTTCAGATAATCTTGTATTTATCGCGGTGCTTCTCAATTAATTTGCCGAGGAATATTCGCGAGAGAATCAATTTCTAATCTACACACATATCGAGCGAAAAATGAAAGTCAAAGACGAGTTGTGAGATTTGTGAAGTGATAAGATGTGATCGAGGAACTCCATCTTAACGCGCATTTCCTCACCAATGGTGCGTTATTCTGCGCAAAGATAGGCACCCGAGCTCCAGTGGCCGAGCGAGGGGTGACAGTTCCTCGTTTGTTTCTGAAGGCGTAATTCTCGTCGGTGGCAACTAGAAAAAAGTGATTTTCCATGAGAATATCGCAACCGAAAACGGCTGAAATTCGGCGACGAAATTCTTGGAGAAGTTCTCGAGTCCTGCCCCGGCCGCCACCCTGCCACGCCACTGCCGACGTTCTCCGGGCATCTTGGTGCTGAGTTTCATCGAGCGCGGATTCGTAACTCAAGATACCTCTACAGCAGAGTGATCCCGATCTACCATTCCGATGAATGTGATGCGAAACATATGACCGTTTTTGGAGTACATGGCGATTCCCTGATTTCCCGACTATCGGTTTCGTTTCCAATCGATCCCTCGATCCTCTCCGCGAGCATTTGCCGAATCGCTAATCAGAGAATATGGTAAGATCGATTGGAGCTGGTGAAGGATCACCTCCCGCCCGGGGTTAATCCTTCTCTGGGTCGACTCGGTCAGAATATCAGTCGTACTCTCGCTAATTTCACCCATAATATAAGGCAACTACATGCGACCTTCCGACGGGAAGATGACGCTCATCGTGGTTCGGGATTCGCTTACATTGTTCTAAGCATTAAAGTGAGTAGCAATCGTGGTGTAATGGTCTCATATCGCTTGCGATACGTGTGTGAGCATGTGGGAAAGGACGGAACCGTTCGCCCTGAAGAGATTCGCTGATTTATAAATCAGCCAAGCCCTCTGGAGATAGACGCCCACACGAGGGGTCGCGATTTTGAGCCGATTGCCAAATATCGAGAGATCTGGAATAGATGCTGAATTGATCGAGCCTGGAAAACAGGATATCCCCGCAGGATTCTGGTGAATAGCCATTCGTAGAATAAATGTGTCGAAAGTCCAGTTTCATCGTTCTTCTAGGTATGACTATGTCGTGTGAGCATTACCATATATAGTATCTATCGTCGGCAAGGAACTCGTCAGTCCATGCTCATCCTTTTCTGCTGCCATTCCCGCATAGCGGGAAGGAGCAGCGCCGTGAGATGGAATCTGGACGGGACATTCCAGGTATACCAGCGAAGTTTCTCATTCCCGCGACGCGCTGTCGAAAACCCTTCCCAAATCCGCAACCAGCAGAGGCTTTCGATTTTAAAGGTCCAATAAAGTCCAAAGGAACACGGGATCGGAATGAGTGTTTTCCATCCTCGAATCCGGGATAGAAGACAAAATCATGCTCTGGGGATACAGGCCGGCTGTTTGTATGGGTAGTTGCTAAGCGACGCAAGTTTCGCCCCTTCGTCCGGCCCACACATCGACTGGACACAGACGAAGCGATTCTGTCCTGAGTTTTACGCGTGAAAGCCCTCCATCGAAAGGAATTAGTCAATCATGGATGCTGATGCAGTGGAGACGTTGGACCGCCCTTCACGTGTGGAGCGGGAGCGTTCAACAACCACGAGACAGCAAGGGATGGATTTACAAACGACGGAACTTGTTCCGGCAAGTGAATCGCGGAGTACGATCTGAGGCAATATTTCGGCAGGACCTCAGACGGACAACTCACGCAGCAAGTCATATTTTCCCTTTCCAGGCTGAGGACCGACATCCGGGACATCGAGAACAGACCGTGATCGCCAGCATCGGAGACAAGCCTCTGCCTCGGAAGGGAGTACGAAATTGTTCCAGTACTCGCAATCCACATTACCCTAGAAATACCTCCATGAAGCGGCCACTGTTCAGTATAATCGAGACGAGTTCCTAATTGAAGATTGACTTCCTAATTCGAAGACGTTCGGCATCACTTCGGAAGATCCTGAGACGAACACTGCATCCATCGGAGAGAAGGAAGATGAAAACCTAGATCGGAGAAAGATCCGCTTCGAAGATCCTCAGAAGGTTGACAGCGAGGAAGGAGCCGAGCCAACCAATGGTTCGGAGCAAGAGGAACCGTCGCGGGCTCGAGACAGGATTGCCGAAAAATCGAGTCGAGAATTCCGCCTGAGGTTCGGATTGAAGCGTTCCAAGCCGCAAGTTGAAGCTGCTCATATGCCCTCAGACGGCCAAGACGAGAGAGAGCTCGAGTCTCAAACGACACCATCTGGGGACAAGGTATGAAATCGGCAATTAGAAGGGGAATTGGTAGGACGTATCGGGAGCATGGGGTGCCGGATCTCAAAAGCAGAACCTCCGCAGTCGAGCCCGAAGAAGACGCGCTTCTCATTCCCGAAAATCGGTTTCAACCGCTCTTCGAATCAGAAGACCGCTGTCGACAATCCGGGTGCGAATGAGGAGCCTGGTGTAGATTCCCATGCGGAGAAAGTTCCCGATGCTCCCGAAGACCTCAAAGATGCGTCGGAAGTGGAAGCAGGAGAGGCTGGAGTCGTCGAGGTCAGACCAATGGTTCATCGCATCAAGTTCCGTCCGCATGCCCGAGCATTCGAGAGTTGCCGCAGATTCGGGACTGAATCCAGACTCTATTCTCCTCAGGAAAAAGACACAGCGCGCAAGTTCACGTTTCTGAAACGATTGAGAGAGCCCAGACCAGTGGCTCAAGAGAAAATTCCAGAGGAAGCTGATGAGGTGAGTTCCCTCTGACATTGCGTTTGAGCCACGCGACCTCGTCCGAGCTTCTCATTCCAGGGCTTAGATAACAGAGCTCCTGTTTCTGCAGGGAAAGAATGAAGTGACGCATGCAGAAGACACTGAAATAGAGGCGGTGACGACCGAGCGAGAAAAGCAGCCGCCGAGCGCCAGCTGGTGGAGGTCTCGGAACTCAAACAAACGAGAGAAAACAACAGAAAAATCCGCACCGGAACCCGTCGCGACTATTACTAGTGGGTCTCACTCCCTGATCCACAACCTATCAGCGAAGTCAAGAATTTCGTCAACGCAGTCGTCCTCATTCGTTTTCCCTTTGCTCTCCCTTCAGATGAGGAGACAAGCGATATCACTCCAACCGTTCAGGAAGCACTCGAAACCGAGCCGGAAACGGCCCCACCGTCGACGAAACTCGGCGGGAATCCCTCGCGTAGATTCCAGTTCTCTCAGAGATTCCAGAGACTTACCGAAAGTCGAACGAAGACTACCGAACAAACCGAGGTCTATTGGGGATGACATTTTGATACCCTTGCGTGTCACTCCAGCTCCCGCGCGCGATCTGAACGATGCTATACATATTTCAGCTTGCGACCGCGCCGCCGGCGGATCCGATGCCGACCGAGAAACTCCCGATTGACCGGAGTCAGGAGGCGCAGAAATGCTTGACGCTGGAGGTTGAACCCGAAGACAGAGTCGAAGCCGCGATCGTCGAAAAATTTGCCAAGGACGAAGACGTCTTCGTTTCGAGACTGTTCATCGACAGACATTTCGCCCGTGAGAGTCAGAATCGAACAACTGCAGAAAGTATGACAAGGCTCACAAAACATTAACTACCGCAAAACTCCCTCTAATTTCCACAGAGAGAAAAAACGCCCCTCCTCCTGCGAGACCCCCTTCATCGTCACCGGCTTTTGTACACAGATCTCTAGCACCTAAGCCCGGGGCTACCGGCGAAATTTACAACTCTTGTCTGGGTAAGCTGGGTAGAACCTGCCAGGGCTTGCTCGGAGGTTTGTGTCTATTCTTCCTCATCCTACTCCTCGCGGCTGACGGTGCCGGAGTGAAAAATCTCTTCGTGAACAGTGGGGGACAAGGTCAGCTGCTTCAAATGCTAATCTACCTCCTGGTCATAGTCAGCGTCATCACATCTTTTGAAGGGTAAGGCTCCCTGTCGATTTGCCCGGAGGTTAGAAAGAGATTCTGGATGGATCGCGAGTCTCAGGGACACGCCAATTTCGTTCCCAGAATGAATTATCAACAAATCATCGCGGAGAGGAGGCTGAATCGATTTTGTATCACGTCGGTCATATATCCCGCCATGCTCATATTGGGATTGACCGTGATGAAGCTCGACAACAGTATCGCACTTGAGGTGTGTATCCTGCCCCTACCTCGCTCTCCTTTAAGTACACCAATCGGAGGAATAAACCAAGCGAGATCATGCCCTCTCTTTCCAGCGCGGACTGACTGAACACGATTGGCTCAAGTGGAAGACTGTGAATACATTGCGGTGCTGTCTCGGTATCGGCGCATGGATGATACTCTGCTTTTAGCCGAAGAGGGAATATTTGCGAGAGTTGGGGGCGAACAGCTGCTGGAGTTGCGTCGCAATAAAGCTCTGGAACCGGGAGGCACACCGACCTTGGTAGATTTCCTTGTCAGTACTCTAGGCGCTCATCTACGCCTCATTCCTATCTTCCTGTCTACATATGTGAAAAATCTTTCTTGGTGAGGCGCTCAGAGAGAGTGCCTACATCCAAAGAACTTCGAGACCAATCCTGCTCCATTTCCGACGTCGGTATCTACAGGCGAAATACCAGTTCTCGCAAGAGGCTCAGTCAGTCAATGAGGAAACATTGAACGGGATGCGGTACCGCCATTGACGGAAAAAAGAAGCGCCGGAAAAATTCGGTGGAAATTTCCCGGAAATGGGGGTCGAGCCACACGAGGCTCTTCTTCGGTGGAGAAATCTGGAATGACCAGTCGGAGGCGAGGTTTGGAGACCCTCGAATCTTGCCCTCAGAGCTTTGCTCAATGATAAATGGCGAAGTCGTCGATGAAGAATTTTATGCCTACGAAGCTTACAGACTTAAAACGCAAACGATCGAATGTGCCCTGACGGATCGCCCCATACACGGGATGATATCAGCCTTCGTGACCGCGGCATAGGGTCTACGGCCTGCGAAACCGAATACGATGCGATGGCAGAAGCAGAGACTGGAGAAATTTTAATTCGATCTGCGTGATTCACGTCAACTCCGGATCCAGGTCGAGGAATGGGAGTGTGGCGAAGGCGTCGATACTGGGAATCGTTGCTCCTCCGCGTACAGTTGCGCTGTTCTACATGAAACTCACGGAAATCTGAAATCGGAGCTCTCCGATGAAATCACCGATGAGTTCATTGTAGACTCTCCGGCAGGAGAAGTTTCCTCCCCAGGAGTCGATTGATTCATGGGAGAGCGAAGTCAAAGAGGGAGCTCGGTTGGCAGGGGACGGAAAGAATCAATCCCGAAGTATATAAGTGGCACATCGGTAAAGCTCCGCTAGACGGACATTAAGGCACGGGATGGAGGCGAGCTCCTCCGATTCTGGAGAAAAACCCGCTCAATGGAGAGAGAGAAACTATCATATCTGAAGCAAATTGAAAGCCCCCGAGGTTAATCCCAAGTTCGAATGAAGCGGTAGGGGGGGGGGCGCGGCGCGGGATCTCGCAAGGGATTTACGGGGGATAATAATCTCAGTGCCGCAGCCAGAATACATTTGGTCAGGCTGAAGAGCGATGATCCTACCGGTGACTTTCGAGTCTCAACTAGGGTATTTCCAATCGATTTTGAAGCTGGTGACGAGGCGGGGTTCGGGCGAACGGAAGCAGAAGTTTCGCAGGAAGGTCTGCGTCCAGGAGGAGCCTTCGCTCTTTTTGAGTCCCCGTGGATGAATAGGGGCCCCCCGCCCGTAAGTGATGCGTCTGAGAGAAGTGCTGCCTTGGAGTCGACCTCTGAAAGACCTGGGGTCTCGAGTTATTAAGTCTTTCGTGTCCGAATATACGGGGAGTGAAAACCGAGCACTGTATGAGGATTATGTGTTTAAAACTGGGGCTGATTCCGCTCTTTCGGAAAATTCGGTACTGGTCCCCTCATAATTCATCGCGAATGCAGGGAGAGCACTGAGCGTCTTCGCGACGCAGTTATGTGAATGGATCGAGAGTAACAAGCACAATCTTCCGAGAAGTTGATCTCGGAACTTTTTCGTTTCGATCGACCGCGAACAGCTACGTCAATTCTGACTGTTCCCATCCTATTCAACGTGTTTTTGGATGACTGGTACATCCGTGGACTCGACTAGCTCGGATCAATCACGATCACATTGGATTGTTACGTCGCGCTCCACAGCAGCCTACGAGTCCGCGCCAGCAGTACTTTCTCCAGAGGTATCTGCCAGCGGCCTCTCCGGCGGCTCGTGCACACGGCACGAGTGGAGAGTTTGGTGCATCCTCGACGACCGAGTGAGCGAGCTGAGAGAGCAAGCCGAGTTAGCAAACCGGCACCCTCCCTTCCCCTTAGGAGACTGTGTGCGAGTGAGTCATCAGCACTCTCCCAATTGAGAATCTACTGAGCATGGGAGTGTTCAAAGCCAGCAAGCGACGCCCGTGTTACAACTACTAGAACAATAAGCCTCAGTAAGCGGAGCCACGGTGAGGGAAAAGTGTGCAGTGAACGGACTTCACCACAGCTTGTCACTTTTCACGCAGTCATCCCTGTCACGTTCTGCCGCTTCTTTCTGGTGATTCTGACTCCGTGTTCCTATCGTGGATGAATGGTGAATGATCGGGATACCGGTGAGCGCATTCAGAGTGGATCGAGCCCGGGAACGTCCCGAGCTTGAAGCGGTGACGGATCAGAAACTCCCGGATTGCCATACGTTCCGTACATTCGCGCAGAGTGACTGAGAACCCACACGCCAATTGACGGGAGGAGCTCTTCTGCTCGATTCTCATAGTCTGGCGATTCCAGGTGACTGATCTGAAAATCATGCGGTTTTGTGAGATCCATGCGGAATAAAGGAGTGGACCAACACTGCGCGTTGGCCGAAACGGATTAAGCGCGAACAGGTGGAGAAGCGGTCAAGGGCGTTCCCCGTCTCCCCGTGGAGCCTTGAAAAATGGCTATGGCCGAAGAGTCGGTCGACCAAGAAGGTTTGTTCTTAGATAAATATTCTATACTCTCGTCCCTGACAGAGAAATCTTGCTTTTTACATGTTCAGTCTCATCACGATCTGTGGAAGTTTCGAAGAGGGAGTGGTTTGTCTCAAATTCGAACATTGTGGTTCCCCCAGTTCGCCGATTAAAGAGAATTGGTCTCTGACAGTAATGACAATGACTGATAGATGTCGACTCTTCCTTGTATTTCATGCGATAGCCGGAGGGCCGCTAGCTTTTCATTTTCCGGCTTCGGGGGCGGAATATCCGAAGGCTTTATCCTCGCCCGGTCTTAACCGTCGTCAGGAGGGAGTTCTCCTTAAAAGGCGCATATGTACATCATGATTCTCCCCTTCAAGCACCGACTGGGCCGGGCGTCTGACAGCGCTTCACCACTTTTGGTTCGAGCCGATTTAGATGCCAGGTGTGCGGATGACCCCGCGAATATTGATGGGAGCTTAATTTTGGATTCTTGAGAAGGAAAAGGAATAGAGAAAATAGTGAGTGTGTATACCGGGCAAGTCGCCCGAGAATCGATACAGAACTTGACGTGGGGGCACGCGAGGAAAAACTCGCCCACATCCTCGTCTAGATCGTCGATTTTCTCCCGGCTTGATTTTCCGAAACGCCGCGTCGATCGCTTGAGAGTCTACCTGATGGTTCCGCCCTCTCATTTTTGTGGAAGTGCCGGAAAGTCAATCTAGCGCCAAGCTTCGATCCTCCAAATCCGTCCGGGCAGCTCTCGAACGCGTTCTGCTCTGAGCTACCATGGAGCCATCATCAGCGGCGAAGAGGTTTGAGTGGTAGCTCAGTGGCACCGTTCGTGACGATGAATCAATTCATTTTCTGACGAGTGTTTCATCAGACCTTCCCACCGCCCAGCATTCAAATCGCGAGGCTTGGATGCAGTATCCGAGGAGTATCAGGATTCACTGGAACGAAGGTCGCCGATTTCGTCGGTGAATAAATCCCAGTCCGCCCGAGTATTTGTGGAATGACTCTTTGCACTGACAAAATGAAGAATCGGAATCGAAGGAGAGACGGAAGTGATAGTCACTGCCAGCGATTCTCAAGAAAAAAAACAGAAGATTGTCGCGAGTGTTCGATAATGTCGTAGGAGCCTTTGAAAGCACAGAGCCGAATGAACCTCCCGTCAGACGGAGGGGAAGAGACCGTTGGCTTCACCGGACTGTTTTCTGCAAGCACGACGCTGGCGAAGAACCAACTGACAGTTCATGTACGCACCTTTACTTCGACACCGGAACGCGGATCTACTCCAACGGTCCGGCTGAAAAATTTCTGAGGGACACATGGTGTTCAGTGCACTGAACGTCGCGCGCCGTGAGCACCATCTTGGAAAGCGCGAGCGCTTCAGTATCTCGGAGCTAATTTTTTGGAGATGCCGATAGCGAGCTCACAGTTCTGGGTGCTCCTCATCTCTTGAAATTCTTCGAGTTGCCGATCGGTCACGCAGACGTTGAATCCTAGAGACAACTAGTTCAGAATTCCTACGTCGTCCAGTGAGTGAGCGTGTAAGGGAGCCCATCCATCGAGCTATTCAATGAGGCAGAAAGTCCGGACTCTCAAGCGGAAGCTCGTCTCTGAGGACGGTATGGTCGATTTCGGGTTCTTATGATTCTCTTGACTATCCTAAGCGTCGGGGAACCAGGGAAGCTTTCTCGTCCGCAGCCTGGCCGAGCGCAGAAACCGAAGGATAATGACTCCCCGGGCAGTACTGATCCATAATACTGGGAGTCGTAATCCATGAATACCGCTCAGTACGAGACGAAAACAATGCGTTCTATTGTGGCCTTCGGACCCAGAATTGGAGCCAATTCGAGCATCGATTGTCGCCGCGATCTAATAATAATACTCTACGAACGACTGATCCTCTACAATGAGGCCCAATGTCTCTCTTACAGAGCGGATCGTAATGACCCCCAGAAAGAAGGGTGTTGGTCACACGTGTATCGCTGTCGAGAGGTTGAAGCAGGTAGACACCTCGAAAGCGGTTCATGTCGCTGGAGGCCAACATCAGGGCATTATCATCAATAAGGAAAACCAGATTGCAAACGGAGGTACGTTCACAAATGTCTCTCGATTGTGAGGAGAGAACGTCCGAGCGAAATTGAGGATTTGAATTAATCTTTGCGACCCAATTCCAGCTGATGAAGTTCCGCAACTGTGGTTGGAATTCAAAGTATTCCTGAAAAACGCTTCTGACAACACTCATTCGCAAGAGAGTCGATTGTTGAAGTTCTGGTTCAAAGAGGGTACGACAGAGAAAACACAAATGCATCTTGCTCAGGATTTCTTCAAGGAACTCGTATCCCCTTGCGAGTTCCCACGTGGTGAGAGACAATACGCACTCCATCGATACGCTCATGATTTCTAAATATGTCCGGAGGCTCAGCTTCCCTATCTGGAGAACTGCCCTGACGTAAGATTTCTCTCCGCAGACTATGTGGGCTTCATAAAGAAAATTATGAAACTTCTGCAGAATCGGTATCCAGACATGAGGAAGGTGGAGGTGGAGCTGAAGCAACTGGAGACCCAGACCGATCAAAACTCCATAAGTGAGTAGACGAGCGGGCAGATTCATTCTGAGTATTCTTGTGGGTCCAGAATTCCTCGGGGAATTCCGAATCTGGGATCATTCTCGATGCCCGGGAACCTCGGAGGGATAGTTCTGCTGATCCCTTAATCATTTTCCCATATAGTTGATGGCAAAGAATCGTCAGCATTACAATTATCTTTGATAAACGATGGAGAAGCCATCGATGACTCGTGGCGAACATTCATGCCCGCCGTGAAGACTTTGGAAGACACATGGGACGATTCCTCTCAACAATCCGAATCAGGTTCAGGGAACGCGTGATTTGAATGGCCATAACCAACATCGATAATAATCTGGGTTTCCACTTCCGACTAATTGACACGGCTAAACTCTAGACCCCGAAAGTTAATAGCTGTAGGTTCACACATTATCGCGAACCGTAAATTAGGACTACTTCGGCGTTCCCCGTCACGTAATCAGAGCGTCCAAGAACAATAATAAGAATAATAGATGGCCTCCTTGCTCCCGATTCCTGAGTGCCTAAGGACATTTTGATCGTGGAGCATGCAAAGATATTTAACCCGCATCGTATGGCGTTGTTTTACGCGCTTCTGTGAGGACTTGATTTTAATGGAGCTCTTCTTCTCTAGTTGGCTTACTGGAAGAATCCAGGGTGGAATCGACGACCATCACCATCGAGCGCGTTCTCGAAATCATTGAGCGCGCCTATCCGAACGCCGTGAGCATCGAGGACATCGCAAAGTGAGTCTTCTCGGATTGCGATCGGTCTCCGGAACGATCAGGAGGTCGGATAGTGCAATCTTGGTCCTCTCGTCAGAATAGTCGATCTCGTGGCATGGTGGCTCTCGGAAGACGCCGAAGTACCCTCCGCTTGCCTAACTCGAATATTTTCGCCAGGGATTCTGTCACGCAAGAGGAGACGGTGAGAGCTTTCATATCGGAACTCACCTCTCGCGGAGTTATCAGACCGACCGAAGATGGTTCTCTGTTTACTCGGGTCACCAGGGACGAGCATAAGGTCAGTCGAAGAGAGAGCCTGAAAACCTTCGCTCAACCGCGTCGCTGTTTTTCCGAGCTCCGCTGAACGGATACGCTACTGCAAGATTCACGGCTGAAACTTCTCCCCATTCAGGTGAAACGGGTCCGCCAAATGCCCGCAGTCACTCGCCAGCAACAACCGACGATCGCTATCATAACAGCACAGTTCTGCGAAAAAGTTGCCGTTGATGCAATGATATCCGACAAGAACACTTTCGTCAGGTTCAAAACCGAAGGTTTGTGGTTTCTGTTCCGGATTCCCTGGAGCTCACTCTCCGCAGAATTCGGAGAGAGCAGTACGCGTGCGAGAGACAGACCTTCGAGATTCCTGATAGCGATTCTCCTCGAATTTCAGGGGAATCGAACGTCTATACCCTCGGGAATATTGGTTGCCATCGGGTCGTTGCTACGAAACTACCGGCTGTTGGACATCAACGAGGGGCGATGATCGCTGCGGGAAATACTACCACGAGACTTCTGGGTTGGTTCCTCATTAAATTCTAATACATGGGAGACGGGGAACTTCCGATGGGCTCAGTGCTTTTCAGAAGCTTGTGGCTTAAGGAAAACGAGGAAATCTTCTTGAATACGAGCCCAAAATTTTTTCCAGGTACATTCCAGAACGTTGATCACGTAATCCTCGTCGGATGCGGAGGGGGTGTACCCCATTTCACCGATCACACGAAGCATGTTCGCTTAGGAGACGTGGTCGTCTCTGATAAACCAGCTGGAATAGACCGGAATAATTATATCTACATGTTCGCTGAAAAGTACGTCGGAATCCATTCGATTTCTAGGAACCTGGGCTCCTGGTGGCGAATCCTAGATCACGGGCTCTGTTCCCGAATTGCCTTAAGAGCGCCTGAAGAAGAATAATAAATAAATAAACAGTGCTGCCCACCTTCCTACAGGATAAAAACTTCGCCGAACGAAGACAGATCTCCCTCACCACCCGGCTCGTTCAACTTGAAAACATGGCTACCTCCCGAAGATAAGCTTCAGGTGGGAGCAGAACGATGTGGAAAGTTTCCGCGGTCGTCATCCCGGAACCCTGTATGGCAAAAGCTTAACACTCCCCTTCGATTCCCCCAGCGAGCCGCTCACCGTGTCATCGAAGAGAATGTCGCATGGGAGGACTATATAGCCGAAGGCTTCAAGCAGCTGCAGAAAACTGCCGCTCATTCAGACGAGGAGAATGATTTCATGCGCCCTCCAGACGAGAGCGACAAACTATTCATGGGCATCGGAGGTTGGTCTCTAAACTGGATGCGGAGCGAGAGTGAATGGGCAAATTTTTAGACCTCGGAATGTGAACGATATTCGACTTCTTCATCCCATGGTAGGCAACGACGTGATCGAGGTGGGTCACCCTTGCGCCCCACCGGGAGCAGCGAACTCCCGGGTACCGGGACATCCATCTGTTCATTTCGGAGCGGTGGCATCGGGTGGGATGGTGGCTCTCGACGATGCACAGCGACAAGAGTTCGCGTCGCAGCATGGAATTCTCGCTTTCGATAGCGAATTCAATAGCGTTGTTGAGTCCGTGAGTACATTCGGTTCCCTCTGTGACTTCAATGATGAAATTATGGGGGAGGGAACGCTTCTGCTTGTTCGTTCATAATTTGAATTCCATTTACAGGTTTACGGTAATCGGAAAGACAATTATCTCGTCCTGCGCGGCGTAGCCGACTACAGAGATGGAACGAAACGGAAGGATTGGCAAGCCTACTCCGCTCTTGTAGCCGCCGCCTACATGAGAGCAGTTGTCGAGAACCTTTATTGAGGGATCTTGACAGGCGATTCTGAGCTCCTCATCACACATATTTTCAATTCGAACCGCCATTCTCAAACTCACCGGCACCTTCGATTGCACTCTTTCCTGATCAGCGTCGGATGCGGCAGTCGCAGAAGAGCGGGTTGCTCCGTGCCTGGCGACTGATCGAATGGATGATTTCTACCACATGCGAGGGTCGCTACAATTTCGACGTCTCGGAGCGGTGAACTTAGCTCAGAAGTTTGCAGTGTCCGGACCTCCCGCATTCTCCGGAGCCGATCAACGAACAAAACCATACACGTTGGCAGCGATCTCCCAGGGGGGGAGAAGTTTGCGAGCATTTCGAAAGTCCAGGAATACCGTCATGATCTTCAGTCACAAAAGGATGCAGATAGTCAAGCATTCTGGCACGTTCCTGGTGGTTGGAGATGACGACTAGCGTTAAGTCCTCTGCAGTTCATAAAGTTGTCAGAGCTGGCCACTTGCTCATGGTGTGCCTTGTGTCATTGAGAAGTTGCCACTTCAGGGAAGCGGGACTTGACAAATATTGAGTATATTCATTTGAGTCTAGTCATTGACCCCGTAAGTTTAAAGTGTCCACATGAAACCAGAACAAGTCAATTAGGCTTGTCTTCCCCACGTGAATCCAAGCTTCACGAGAAAGGTCCCGAATGCCTATTCCCTGACTGGGGAGAGAACAGTATTCAGCAGCACCAAGCCTGTTCCGACCTTGAGTGAGAGAGGAGCCTTCTGAGATGGGAAGGTGGGGCTTCGAAGAAACCTAGTGTGCGAGGACTCGACGCGCCGCCACGCCTCGGGATTCCAGCCACCGGGAAGCGAGCAACTGATATGAGTCATCGCAATAATATAAGTTTGGATGATAATAAAATGAAGTTCATTGTAAGTTATCGACGGATTCTTCCCTTGCGCGCCAGGAGGATACCGACAACGCCTTGACGCTGTCGACTCTCCACGGTAGATTCCGACCGAGCACCTCACTTAAAGTATGTATGATGTGGAGAATGAACTCGCGGAAGGAAATCAGGCGCGCGCGCGAGCGGCGGTTGTCCGGCTATGCCTGTCCGTTCGCCCGCTGATAGGAGCAGAATGGAAGAGCTCAAATATTCGAGAAATCAGGGGTGGTTGAGCTCGCACTACACGCAATACACAATGACCGTACGGGACCAGGGCCTTCCCGAAGAATCCTAGAATACTATGGAATGCCGAACTCAGGTCCCCACCTAGAAATGCCAGCGTTCATGATCTCAGACGGTATTTCGATTTATTCATGGAGTCGCTTCGGATTCCCGAACCATATACAAGTTTACAACACTCAATGGACAGTCAATGAGTAAATACAGATCACAAAATGTTTAATTAGCTACTTCTATACAAAAGCATCCAGCAGATTACCCTGATTTTCTCCTGATTCCTTGTTGCATTTGAACCTGCTGTTTTCCCAAGCGGGAAGTGGGAGTCCCAACGTCAAATTTCAGAAACTTATATCTCGCATACAGCGAGTGTTCTCCCAGCAAATTCTTCGGAACCGGGGTCTCGTGACCGATCGATATATGAAAAGTTCCCTCGCGAAGTAGAACGCAATCCTTTACGTAGGATCATCGATCCGAATTCGGACCGTCAGAAGTACCGCAGAATACCAGGAGAAGAACAGCGCTTCCCGAGCTCCTTTCCGTAGTCGATCAATACTCTCGCTCTTGGGTCGCGTAATTCGCGATTCACAGTGAGGAGGTTCGATTCACAGAACCTTGCTCACGGATGAACTTCTGAAGTCCTCCGGCAATACGTCGATCGATCGATACGGAAAGCAACAGGACCACCGTCCGGAGTCTACTTCGAGGAGCACCATTCTGTGTGTCCGTGGTGGATCCGGTATAGGGTTGCCGCATTGAGCCGCTAGTGACCTACAGTCACGGTCGATTCTTCCTCGCCATGCAGCGCTTGTTGGATGGTGGTGCCTGGTTGAAGAAGGACCTGTGGGAAACTCTCGTCGTTAGGGACGGAGGGCTGCGCTTGGTGGATTCCAGAGCCAAAAGTTCAGAAAAAAGGACGACGACGACGACTTACTTGTTGACCGTTCGGTAGGTAGATGGCTTGCTGTTGGGAGTGCGCTGAGGCCTGTTGAGCCGCTTGGATAATGATCGGTTGTCCGTGACCGTTCGCTGTCTGGTTCGCAACCCTCACGAGTTGGAACTGCCCATTCGCCCCGATTTGCGCTTGCAAGGGCAACTGTTGAAGTTGATCACCGATAACCTGGGGGACGAGCTGAATATGCTGCTGCTGACCAGTGGCCGATGCTTGCTGCTGTATGACCTGAGGTATCTGCATGACCTGCAAATATGGGCGAGCGTGAGAACAGCAAGGCCTCTGTTGAACGAATCTCTCTCCCGCGGAGTGAAATGAGGGCCCATATCTCGAAAATTACATCCGACCGATTCTACGTACCTGACCACCGGCCACCCCCGATTGGACCAATGTCTGGGTCCCGTCTAGAGACTGCACTTGAACCACCTGGGAAAGAATGCAAAAGCGATGAATTCGGGTAGTGGAGGGAATCGTGATTCGGAAGTCTCGCAATGAAGCTCCGGAGCTGACACTTTCGTCATCGTCTTCGAGGAGCTCATCGGAGCCCAAGGTAGGAGAAGCCGGATTCCGGAATCAGATTCACATGACAAGTCGAAGGAAGTCATGTTGGTGTGAGCTCCCACAAACCTGGGGTGCGAGGAAATTTTGATGAGCAGTTGTGGCGAGTTGAATCGTTTGCGGAGCGCCGCCCCCTGCGGGTATGATCTGAATTTGTTGGCCGCCCGCCGTTGTCAGAGTTGACTGTTGAGTTTGAAGCTGATTGATGGCACCTTGCTGAGCCGCAAGTTGGAGAAGATATTGAACCTGCGGACATGGAGGAAATTCTGAATACAAATGAAGCCGAACGGAAGACTCGACCTCCAGATTTCGGACTTTCCGAAGGTGCTCTCATAGAACATGGTTAATACGCACCTGATCATTGGTATTCACAGTTGCCGCTGACTTAATGACCTCCTCCTTTGCTGCCGGTTGCGCCACAGTTTTAGCGACGGTACCCTGAGGAGTTTAGGCGCTTAGACTTCGAATGAGGCAGAGGATGCACTTGCTCGATACGCTAGCGCAAGGAGCAGCTGCAGGACGCCAATCCGGCAGTCTCACCTGACTCGTCGAGGTCGGTGGGGGTGGCTTCTGTTCCTCTCTGGGAACAATGTCTATGAGGAAGTCGAACATATCGAATTTAGATATTGCCATCGCGATGTCATTTCTCTGCAACGTCCGCCTCTTATTGTCCTCAGTATGGATCCAGGCTCTGAGAGTGAGTTCCATGATGAAGAGCTCCGCTGCTTTCGCGAACAAAATCGGGGCTTCTGCGCTGATCATCTGTACATAGTAAATAGATATCATGAATGGAAATCGATCAATTCCAACTCCATGGATCCGCTATTCGAATTTTAAGGCATGTGTGGCAGATTTCAGTTTCAATCAATGGAACGAACCTTCACGTCTTCGTCGAGTTTCATTATCTTCTTGATTCGCGCCAGAGGCAGCTCAGGTGGTTTCGCATCGCTCTGTGGATTTGGGAATCAGGAGGTCGTTTGACGTGCGGAAACAACCCTTTCAATACGAGTTCCTTCCAATCGACACCACTTCTAGATGATCCTCAGAGTCACCACGATGGGAGCACTTACGAAGTTGAGATTCAATAATTCGTTGACGGTTCGAACCCAAAATGTTTCGAGGTGGTCCTTGGCGTGATTCGGGTTCTCGTAAGGCATCACGGGATGCAATACATTTGATGACGCATTCGAGGGTTGGTTGAAGTTCTGTTCAGATGACATTTCTCCGAAGCTACAGATGGCTCATTGGCGGGGAACCTGCAAAATTGACTGCTGAGAGCCGCGTCGGAGTGGAATCCCGAATCGGTATGGAGCGAAATGAAGCAGAGATGTCATTCACAACGAATTCTGCGCGTTCTCCACGTTCATCAGTCATTCGAGAACATTCTCAATGACCTACAAGAACGTGAAATCGAAATAGACGCCTCGAAGCAGCACATAGCTGCCCGGCTCCCCACCCGGGCATACGAACAGCCCGTTCATCTCACCCTGAATCATAGCAGTTGGCACACTCCGAGATGAAGTTTCCCTCATTTTATTGCAATCAAACTTCGAAGCCGGGGAATTTGCTCTCCAGAGGTCGGAGCATATCCACTAGGAAGTGTATGGTGCCAGCCATGCCTTCGAACAAGGAGTACGGCCTATCGGCCACTCGGCAGCCATGTGTGCCGTAGGCACAGCAGAACTCCGCGAAACGGGCTGCTCTATACAGATAGCAGTCCTCCATCGTCAGTTTATATAATCTTAGGAAGCAATACGCATTGCCAGCAACGCCATGACAGAGGCCGTAGCCTTTCTTGAGCAATCCACGTTTCCAAACGACATCGGCGCATTGTCGCGCCTCTTGCAGGTACGGAGCATCTCCGAACACCTCGTACGCTTTCGCGAACAGGAAGAGGAATCCCGGAGCTCCATGACACCAGTGTACCAGACGATCCGAAGTCGATCCCAGCGAGGATGGGTAATTCCCCGAGCGGTATTTCTGGGAGATCAAGAACTCGATGGTCCCTTTGATTCGAGCCATCTCGGGGGCGTCTAGAAGTTCTTTTGCTTCCAGCAGCATGGTCAGTATGCCGGAAATACCGTGAGCGGCTCCCAAGTACAGACTATCATGCCATTCGTACATCAACGGGCTATCGCAGTTCATCTTGGCGGCGAGTAGTTGCCCTGATTCGAGAACAGACTGAACAACATTTTTCATGAGTTTCACATCGATAGGTTTCGTCGAGATATTAGCGTTTATGTAGAGTAGAGCGTAAAGATATCCAACGCGACCATAGAGAAGTTCGTCAGGTTCTCCCGTCTCCAGAGAAACGCAGCCTGGAAAACAGATCCCGTTTCATGTATTTATCGCTCCTCATTTTCTCTTCGGCAGAGAGGAATCGATGATCGAGAACTGACTGCGTTCCCGATTGGCTCACCTGAAGCGAACTTATGCAGCAAGTCTATGTCTGTTTTCACTTCTTTTTGCAATCCTAGCCGATGGTGGAGAACCGCGCGAACCGCGATGGGACCAACATCACCGCAGAGGAATGTGAAATCGTGTCTTCTTTTCGCAAGCCGTTGGGTGACAAGGATCTCTCGCGCTTTCTCATTGAATTCTACGTTCTTATCAGCTGTCTGTATCAGAGCTAGATTCATGTAAAGTAGGGCTATGCCGGTAGAGCCTGTGTAGACGGAACAGTCGCGTGCGTCTGTCTTGATCGGCGCCTCTAGCTCGAGAACTTTCAACAGCTTGTACACTGTACACTCGATCTTGGGCAAGAACTTCTCGTAGGCGAAAGCCGAAGTCTCACAATATCGCGCATAATCGTCGAACTCGTTTTCGATATAGCGATCCCCGCTCATTGTGTTCTCCTCTGTCGGCTTCCTCTTCCCGGACAGGACGAATGCGGGACCGGTGGTCACAGTGATCGGCGCCGAATTCAACTCGCAGCCGCTAAGCCTAATCGGTCGAGCCGGAGCTGGTGACAGACGGGGAATTTCTTCCGAAAGCTAGACAGAAATAGTGCATGAATCGTGTCTTCTCATGATCGGCAGGACAAGCGGGATCGCGAGCTCGTTGGTAATGCCCGTTGATGAAGCTTGTTGTCATCATCGTCGTACAAGTCGGTGGCTGCCGACTCCCCAGTGGACGTTCGCAAGCCAATCAGTGGCTGGCGGCCAGCCATTGGCCGCATCGGGCGAATCACAGGAGAGCACAACAACAGGCGCTCATAGCCCGTGTTCCTGGCTGTCAAGATTCTAGTTCGCCTAAATAGTTGACAAACTCACCGACGGACACAATTTGGAGGTTTCCACGTAAGGAAATCGCTGTACTCGCAACGGTATTGCGGGCCGCACCACCACTACACGCCAGTCAGCTCTCACAACCTGGCTGGAACCTAAGCGGCCATTGCTGTGAAGCGCCGATTCGAGCCCGCCATTTTTCGAAAAAGCGGCTCCGATGCGTGTAGGTGGATGAGCCGTCGTCGCGGACAATTATAATTCAATATCATTCGGATTATATGTGCGGGCTAGGTGATGCATGGGGTCGAAGCCTTGTACGATCGACATGCGATTCCTGCAACGGGTGGATGTACATGGAGACTCCCTATATAAATGACGGCGATGTAACTTTTTCTACCCGAATGGATCCCGTCAAGTTGTATTCGAAGAGAACAACGACGGCGATGATCTTTGCTCCCTCCATGGATCCTGGAGCGACCGGCGCTCCGCATTGCTGTCAGCGATTCCATGATCTTGAGCGGGATGACGGCCCGGATCTCTGGATCCCGAATCCATGACGCCTCACAGGGACCCTTTGACCGCGCCCATCTGGTACTCACGACCCAGCGAATAGCTCCGATCGAGAGAACCGTCGCGGGTCGCTTTGTGGAAATTCCCTATAGACGCCGCTCGGAATTTCGACCAAAAATAATTTCGACCATGAATAATTAAACCATTAATTATTGCCCATACCGATTGGTCGAATGCTCCCACTGATCGATACCATTCACCGACTGTAGCTTGAAATCGGTATCCGCGTCCTCCCTCGCCATGGGAAGAATAAGAAGATGGAACAATCACTGAGGGGGCCCCCCGCAGACGCTTAACACCCGACAAAGCGCTTGAATTCGAGCCGCGAGGGAGTGATACCTCGGTATCGCTCCACCGTGGCTCTTCCCGGGAGCGGAGCTTGGCACAGTCTGATGGAGACTCTCCTAGGTCGCAAACTACCGAGCGATGTCCGATGCCAAGCCGTAGATGGTAGATGGCCGGCGATTCCTAAACCGGCTTGGAAAACTCGAGGCTCGGAATGCGAAGCTTGAGTCTAGCCTGCAATCCGATCCGGACAGGATAGGGATCCCCGACGCTCGAGAACTCCCAGTCCAATTGGAATATACGCCGGAAGGAGAACTCTAAACTCATCCGAGCTTTCCACCGGGCAAAGTTCAAACCCTCTGTCCCTCCTTGGGAGTTTCGTTGGCATGCCGAATAACAGCCAGCGATGATCCCTCCTCTCCCAGACTCTCCAGCATTATAATCAGCTGGACGACGAGCAGTGCTCTGCCTCGGGAGGACGGCAAGCAACCGTGGTGCAGGGCTCCTTGCCGGCGAGCGGTTCGGATTCGATTTCGAACGTCATGGCTCTGGTAACGTCCACGCTTACCAACGGAATCCTCCGAGTGGTTCTGTGCAATGCCAGGAAACGGAATCCTCTATCTAGTGAAGCTCTGAACCAGCTCGAATGCGCATTTAGAACGGCTTCTGATAAGAGCTGTCGAGCAGTAGTGATCACAGCGGAGGGCCCTGTTTTCAGTGCTGGTCATGATCTACGAGAACTGAAATCCCTGGATCCTCAAAAGCAATATGAACTCTTCGCGAGGTGCGGGAGCCTGATGAACTCTCTGAGACATCTCGAGGTACCCGTCCTGGCCGCAGTCGAGGGCTTGGCTGCAGCCGCAGGATGTCAACTTGTGGCTGCATGCGACATGGCCGTGGCAGGACCCGAAGCTCGATTTTCTTTACCGGGTGCATCTGTAGGTTTATTCTGTTCAGCGCCCTCAGTCCCCGTGGTGCGTTGTGTTGGTCAGAAGGCCGCTGCCTTCATGCTATACACAGGGACGAACATCGATGCGATTCAAGCTCTGCGGTTCGGCTTGATTTCTCATCGAGCAGAATCGAACGAAGCGCTCGGGGCCCTGGTTGAAGACATAGTGCAAGACATCGCCAGGAAGCCTAAGGATGTGATCTCGCTCGGCAAACGCTTCCTGCAACGTGAGGCCAAAGTGCAAGAAGTGCGTTCATACGAAGATGCGGCTCGAGTCATGGCGGACAATCTCCAGTTGAAAAATGGCAAGGAAGGCCTGGAATCGTTCGTGGAAAAGAGGCATCCCCATTGGCAGTGATACGGTCGTGGGTTGGCCTCGCTCTCGATCTTCCGACGTCAGGCGTGGCCTCCGTGGGAAACATTTCCAGGCTCACGAAGAGCGACCGAATTCCTTTGTCGATGATGTCGTTTCGAGGGCTCGGTCGTGTGGACCTTGTACACGTTGCGGTGTGCCTTTTTTCCCCATCATGCATATCAAACGGCTGCTGGAACCTCACAAACGGGGAGGAATGAAGAGTTTGAGAATAAAATTTTAACATGATTGGTCTTTGATTCATTGATGGAATGAGCAGGTGAAGCTACGCGGGATCTCCATCGAAGATGCTCGTGGCTTGAATGTAAAGATCTCGCCCCGAAATGCTTCGGTCGACCTTGCGAAGTCGCCAGAGAGACCTCAGAGACTCAGCCTTCACGTGAGAGTCAGGCTGAATCCGTACTGGTTCTCCCTTCATATTCCGACGGGAGACATCCCGTCGCCACCGATGTTTCCGGCCACGGTGGATTCTGTGGGAAAAGATATCGTCCCCCCTTGATCCATCCTCCTTTCTGTATGACTCTCACATATACATGATTCAAAAAAAGTACCATACATCTCTGACACCTCCGCTGGTAGCACCCGCGCTCGGCTCTAGGGTATTCTAGCGATCGTACCGACAATAGAGACTGTAGGCTGGAGATTTCGGAGCGGAACGTCGTATATTAGGTGGAATCGTAGGTTGGGGAGGGATTTGTCTTTCAGTTTTTTTTCGACCGTGGAGAACACCTCCCGACGAGAAGCGCAGACCCAGGGCGAGCGTCGTCTCGAGGTGAGGCCGCTCGGGGTCCTCCATCCCTCTCCGTTGAACTTTCCCGAAGAACCATAGCATCCTGTCCCTCGTTTAAACACTCGACCGATTCGCTGTGTCGGAGGTCGAAGCGACGGAACTCGTGTCAAATCCCAGCGGAGTTCGTGTGTGAGGGCGGTAAATATTTCGCGCGAGCTAGCCAATAGATGTGTGCGTAACTTGCCGTATATTTCATCCCGCATCGTCACGGAGATTCATCCACAAGTTTCAATGGGTCCGTCACGCATGGAGTGAATTTCGTCGTCCTCAGAGAATTACTCTCCCCGTACTGCTGCAGCGTCTTCTTTCTATCTCCTCCTGGCTCAGAGCAACAACGTTCCGAGCTACGGCCAATACAGCTCCCGCTGATGCCCCTGGCATCAGTCATCTGTCATCATCACGCATCTCTCGCGCCGTGCATCTACCCGGCCGACGACGCGAGCTCCGTGGTGACGTCCGAGCCCGAGCGAATCCAACGGATTAAGGTACTTCCAAGGAGACTCCGGATCGACCGCCATATATGACCAATTGTTATTGAATCAGAACGAGGGTACCGAATCGAAAAGAAGCATTCGGTCGTTTTCCCAAGAAGCGAAGACGAGCGAGCGAACGGCCGGAGTCAGTCCCTCAGGAAGGAAACGGAAAGCGCTATTTCATCCAGTCAATTAGGAATGTTGCACTTCGGACCGTCTTCGAGCAGACAACGGGTTGAATGCAGGCATTCAGACGATTCTTTTGCCGTACCCCGCGGCATCACTCATCTAATTTCCCCGTTTCTCTATTGCTCCAGACACGACTTCGCTCAAGAGGACTCATTGTCGCAGTTTTTGCTTTTGGTCGGCCTCCTCAAAAATAAAGCAGATGTCCGACGACGATCACCCAAACTTCATGGGAGGGTTCGGAGGGGGCTACGGCGGCGGACAGATGCAGTAGAACTCGCCGTACTTCCTCCGTTTTTCCGGTGGGGTTGTCGTTCTCGACGCCGTTTTTGGTTCTCAACAATGGTAGTCGGGCCCTCAGGCCAATCTCTCATCGTCTTCTCTCACTCGGCGCGCCGTCTGGCAGAGCCGACAAAGAGGAAAGCACAAGGGCGAATACAATACACCCACCACGCTAGCGCCTTCACATCAACACTTACAGCAGACTTACTCATAGAGGAGCATGTAATGCCAGCCAAGGAGGGGGCAATTACAAAACAACAAAGATGGTCTCAAGAGAGGTGGCCCCGACGGCGCTACGGAGCCGGGCGGGAGGGAGCAACAACGAGAACAACAGACAGGGAGGGGGCGCTTATCGTTTGCCGAACACACATCGTGCAAAGAGACACACCTTGCGCTGTGCCATTCTGTGACGCGGACGAGAATAAATGTTCCGTAAGATGCTCGCGAGCAGATTTCAAACCTGCGCGGAAAAAAAACAATTAGCCAGGATGCGCGGAAGACTATTCCACGCTTCTTTTCTGGAAGCCTCGCGAGCACACCGTCCGTACGGTCAGCCTCTAGCTTGGCGATCCTTTCGGAGACGCCCCTCGAGGGTCGTGCGAGACAGAATCGTCTCCGCGCAGAGTTCTTCTCCCTGGAGGGAATACACCACCGGCCGAGGTCACGCCGGAAGGCGAAGCTTCAAAACGGTGCTGTTCCCCTGGTGGATCTAGCGACCAGATGTTTCCGGAGCGGATTTTTGCGTCGGCGAGCTCTTTCAGCTGCAACAGAACAGCCGCAAAATCGCGGCGGAATGCCGGAGCGATCCATTACGCCGATTCCGCCCCGTGAAATCGTTGCGAAAACGTCCGATTCGGAGATTATATCCGTTCGCTTAGGCGATATAACCTCTCCACCCAATTCCTGATTATATTATGTGACCAAATCATCGTGTTCAGTAGCACGAGATTCGACAGCTTCTGGAGTCGGAGAGGAAGGAGAGATCCTTCTGACGGAGAGATACATATGCATGTTTACACGTGTGTATAAATGAAACCATTTATGGAGAATTGCAGAGAAAATACTTTCGATCCCGACCGCCGATGTCGCTGATGGGACTGCGCGTCAGACCCCGCGAGCAGCTCACGGCCTCCTAACAGGGCGCTCCCGATGCGAATGATGGTGTACGGAGTAAAAAATCGGTCGCGAGTCGAGGAGTGTGTTCAGCCTTCGAGAGCGGCTGATTTCCGCTTGAGTTCTCAACTGGGAGTTTGGGGAATCGGGAGTTCCTTCATTTAGAGTTCGTTAACTGCGCAGGCAAGCTCCGAGCAAGTAACGGATCGGAATAGTTTTTTGGAAGAACATTATCGGCACTCCCACTCACCCGAGCAGCCACCCGCGAAACAAGCCGCTAACAGACATGTGTGACTCCAGGCGGACATTCGTTTGTCGCGAATTCGTATGGAGTTTCGTATTGGAATGAGCACCGGGGTGCAGCGTGAAAGCCGTTCGCACTGTCATAATTTAGAGGAAAGAGGAGCTCGATAGATTTACCTGAACGAGCCTCGCCCCCACAGGGAACTCCGTGGCTAAAAGTAGCTTTCTGTCAGAGAACACTCCCGGCAAGCAGGCAGGCAGGAGCCGAGCGCGTGGTTCTGGGTGTTCGTCGCTTTGCTTAATCGTCGTAGCTTGCTACCCCATCCCTCCGACTTTTCTCTCCCGCTGTCCCGTCCCGGCTACCGGTCCCCTCAGCCCCTGTCGACTCCCCCAGTGAAGCCATCAGCAGCAGTCGAGTAATTTAAGAGCACGACATTTATTAATGCACGATGCTGTCCGATGCAGACTCTCAAAAATAGCTGAGAAGCCAGCTCTCACGAGCTGCGGCTGCCGTCGCTGCAAGACCGCACGTCGTCGACTTTTCGTTCGAGCTCGTACCCCCCTTTTTGGGTATGTACTCGGCTCCCACTACACACGTTGAATTCACCCAAAGTGAAAATTCTCATTCAGACCCTCACAGTGAGCAATGATAATAATCCGATTGATCAGCGATGACTCGCAAGACGAGTTCAGAGAGCTCAGCTGTTCGGAAGATATTCCACCGGAATTCATCCATCGGAAGACTACCCACTCCGACTTGAGCCCGCAGGATACCTGAGGTGAACTCGAAGAGACTCTGCTTTTTTGCTTCGGCTGTACCTCTCGCTCTCTTGCCCGATGCTTGCCGTGGACGGTGCTCTGGATGCAAAGTCTCCTCGACGGAGATGTCGCCTCGACTTTTTTTCTGCTAGTGATTCCGGCGCTCGGAGCGAAGAACGTGAGAGCCGCCTAATTCCCATCACCTCAGTCGGCACGCAAATCAGTTTGCTGACCAGCTGGCCGTGCGAGCAGTCGGCCGAAATAGAAATTTCCTCAAACGTGTAGGGTGTAAGAAACTTACGCGTCTGAGAACGAGAGCAGACCCGTGGCGGGTCTCTGAAAAGTCGAGTCTCCCTTAGGAAGATATGTGGCTTCCACTAGCAGAGAATCCAGGCAAGATGCGCTGCGTAAGAGGAACACATCTGTGTATGTATGTGTGCGTGTGTGTAGAGTAAGAAGCCCGGCACAGCAACCAGCGACGGAGCAGCGCTCGCCTCCGAGGGAATCTCCTGTCTCAAAGCTGAATTTGAAAGTCCGTTTGCACTGTGTGGAGCGCATAATTTGAATTTCTCGAAATTTGATAGCCGCACACCTGAAGACAGCCATATCTCTCGCCCGGCTCCCTCAACATATGGTTTCGTCCGCCTCTAGTTTCATTGGCTAATTCGGTAATTCCGAAGAAGTTGCTGGCGGTTCCGGTAGTAGTCGTCGTCGCATAGCCTCGAGCAACGCTCCATCCCGAAGCGAACACACATATATAGCCACTCGTAAAGCCCTCCGATCAACTCATCCGTTCGTTCCCCGCGTAATATTCGTCCGCCGCCGCCGATCCGCGTCGTGCGACGGACGACCGGAGCGGTGGGATCCAGTCGGATCGACAGACGGAATGACACTCAATCCGTGTATTCCTTGCATTCCGTGCATTCTCGGCCAGGTAGCCGTGGAAGTCACCGCATCAATGGCATGCGAGCGCTCCGACGCAAACGCTCCAGAGTCCCCTGAAATTCCCTTCTTTGAAATCACCGCGGTTGCGCAGCCGGATCCGCGCTCCCGTCCAAAGCGTATCTTGCGTTAGCGCGCGTTTTAGCCTTCGACGGCTGGTCCCGTATACGGACCCGTAGCCGGCGTTTGTGTCGGATGAGGCCGACTGAATGGCGCTGACTGAGTGACGGGAGCTCGACTCCCCGGTAGACGCGCGGAAGCAGCAATGAGAGTCAATGGAATAAGTTACTCGGTGGATCGAGACTGATGAAAACTCGTCGGGTCGGAGGCTGCCTTTGCTCGGGTAGCCGTA